CCCCCACAGCTGACAACCACCACTCTTCTGTCAATTTTGAGGACTTGGACTTGGATACCTCATCAAAGTGGAATCATGGAGTCCTTATCTTTTTTTGACTGGTAGTTCACTTAGCATAATGTCCTCAAGGTTCATTCATTCATGTTGTTGCATGTGACAGGATTTCTTTCTTTTTTAAGGCTGAATAATATTCTGTTATATGTATATACCTTATTTATCCATTCATCTGTTGTTGGACATTTAAGTTGCTTCCATTTCTTGGCTATTGTGAATAATGTTGCTATGAACATAGCTGTGCACATATCTCTTTGAGACCCTGTTTTTAATTTTTTTGGATATATATCCAGAAATGGGACTGCTGGATCATATGGTAATTCTATTTTTAATTTTTCGAAGAACTTCCATAGTGTTTTGCATAGAGGCTACACCATTGTATGTTCTCACCAGTAGTACAGAAGGGTTCTAATTTATTTACATCCTTACCAACACTTGTTATTTTCTGTTTTTTTGTTTGTTTTAATTTTTTTATAGTGGCCATCCTCATGGGTGTGAGGGTGGTACCTTATTGTGGTTTTGGTGTGCGTTTCCCTGATGATTACTGATGGTGAACATCTTTTCATATGCTTATAGGCCAGCTGTATATCTTCTTTGGAGAAGTGTCTCTTCAAGTCTTTTACCCATTTTTTTTAATTTTTTTAAAGATTTTATTTATTTATTTGACAGAGAAAGACACAGCGAGAGAGGGAACACAAACGGGGAGTGGGAGAGGGAGAAGCAGACTCCCCGCCGAGCAGGGAGCCCGATGCGGGACTCGATCCCGGGACTCCAGGATCATGACCTGAGCCGAAGGCAGTCGCTTAACCAACTGAGCCCCCCAGGTGCCCAGTCTTTTACCCATTTTAAAATTGGGTCGTTTCTTTGTGTTTTTTTGTGTTGAATAAGTTCTTTATATATTCCAGGTATTAATCCTTTATCACATATATGGTTTGTAAATATTTTCTTCCAATTCATGGATTGTCTTTTCACTCTGTTGATTGTTTCCTTTGTTGTGCAGAGTTTTTAAGTTTGGTGTAATCAGATGTGTCTATTTTTGTTGTTGTCTGTGCTTTTGGTGTCATAACCAATAAATCATTGTCAAATCCGATAGGAATCTTTTCCCCTATCTTTTCTTTTAGGAGTTTTAGTGTCAGGTCTTATATTTATATCTTGAATCCATTTTGAGTTAATCTTTGTATATGGTGTAAGGTAAGGGTCCAGCTTCATTCTTATGCATGTTTTCCCATCATTTATTAAAGAGACTACCCTTTTCCCATTGCGCAGCCTTGGGACCCTTATTGAAGAGCCTTTGACCATAAACAAAAGGGTTTATTTCTGGGCTTTCTTTTCTGTTCCTTTGGTCTATATGTCTGTCTTTTTTTTTTTTTTTTTAAGATTTTATTTATTTATTCATGAGAGACAGAGAGAGAGAGGCAGAGGGAGAAGCAGGCTCCCAAGGAGCAGGAGCCCGATGCGGGGCTCGATCCCAGGACCCTGGGATCATGACCTGAGCTGAAGGCAGACGCTTAACGACTGAGCCACCCAGGCGTCCCTGGTCTATATGTCTGTCTTTATGTCATAGCAATTTTAGCAGGATAGCTAATATTCTCCCTATAGATAAGAAAACCGAGGGTTTTGTTTTTTTTTTAAGATTTTATTTACTTGAGAGAGAAAGAGAGCACAGAGGAAGAGGGAGAAGGACAAGCAGACTCCCTGCTGAGCATGGAGCCTGATGTGGGGCTTGATCTCAGGACCCCAAGATCATGGCCTGAGCTGAAGGCAGACACCTAACTGACTGAGCCACCCAGGCACCCGGAGAAAACTGAGGTTTAACTAGAAGGTAGGGAGCCAGAATTTAACCACAGGCTTTCAGTTTATACAGTGTGCTAACCTAGTTTGTCACTTTTCAGAAATCAGAATGTCGTTAATACTTACCAAAACAAGAACTATCTGAAGATGGAATGTGTTTCACTTTTATGAATGACCGTGTGTATGGAAGTATATATGCATGTTTCCTGTGTCTCCTGCTAAATTATAAACTCATTGAAAGTTGGAATGAAAATTTTTTGGTATGTTTCCCAGCACTGCATATATCACCTGATGGGTAACTAGAGGTTGGTATATACCTATAGGAGTGTGACCTAAATTATAAAATAATGATCTTACATTTATAGAGTGTTTACTATGAGCCAGGGGCTCTTCTGGGCTCTCCACATGTCTTACTTTATTTAATTCTTACTAAAACACCTTGAGGTAGATATGTTCACATTCTGTAGTGGTAGCCTCCTAACTTTATTTCCTTGTTTATTCAATTATATGAAAAATTCTACCACCTGACCTATCTTCGCTCTCTTTCCTGGGCTCCGTAGCTCCACTGTTATTGTGATCTTCCGTCTTTAGGGGCTAAATGAAGTCCTCCCGTCCTGGTAAGACGTGGAAGACGCCACATTATTTTAGCAAGTCAGGACCAGTTAGCAATTTTTTCCCTTTATTTTTAAAATTTTCTCAGTCTTTGATTAGGTAATTATGTATTACAAAATTCAAGAACAAAAAGATAGTAAAAAGTAAACCTCCTTCCCACACCTCTTGGTGCCCCATTTCTCTTCCCTAAGGGAGAGACATCAGTCATCATTCTCTTGTATATTGTCCCAGAGATATTCTTTACATAAGCAAGACTGTATATGCACATGTATGGTTCTACATATATCTTAGCTTTGTATTTTTTGATACAATTGTAATACCGTTTTACACCTTGATTGCTTTCCTCTTAGTATGTATTAGAGATTGTTCCATTCTGTTGCATATAACCTGCCTCTTAATACTCTATTCTGTGAGTGTACTGAATCTTTTTGAACCATTTCTTCATTGATGGTCATTTAAGTTCCTCCCCGTTTTGTTTTTCTGTTACAGCAGTCCTTCACTGATACTCACTGTGTAAGTTTCTTTAGTACAAGTGAGTTCCTAGAAGTGGAAAGGCTGGGTCATTGATATGCATTTACAGTTTTGATAAGTTGCTCTAGCCTGCTGTCCATGGAGGTTGTACCTGTTTCTGCTTCCGGCAACTTTCAAATTAGTGCCTTTTCCCCACACCTTTGCCAAACATTATGTTTCAAAACATTTGACATGTTTTACTAATAAGAGAGATGCAAATTAAAATGACAGTGAAATAGCATTTTCCACCTATTATGAGTGAGATCAAACATTTTTTCACTTACTTAAAAGCCATTTATTTTTCTACTTCTGTGAACCAAGTCTTCATATATATATTTTTAAAGATTTTATTTTTAAGTAACCTCTACATCCAACGTGGGGCTCGAACTTACAGCCTTGAGATTAAGAGTCGCACGCTCCACCAACCGAGCCAGCCGGGTGCCCCAAGTCTTCATATTCTTTCTTTTTTATTTTTTTTTGGTCGGATCATTATTATTTTTATTACTGACTGTAAACTTTATGTTAGGCAAAGTATAAAATCAGTGGGGCAGAGATGGATTATTTAAGAAATGGTACTGGCTCAGTAGACCATCTGTATTAAAAAGTACAATTTGGATTCCTGTGCTTTCCCATACACAAAAATTTGTACATTGATTAAGGTGGAAAATCAGCATGGAAAAACAGATTTTAAGCTACTAGAAAATTATAGGTAGGTAGGTATCTGCGTGACGCAGTAGTGTGGACTAAGAAGTCCAGATGTTTAGGAAAAGGTTCATACGTTTGACGACAGAAAAAATTTGACATGCCAAAAGGCACAAATAAAGTTAAAAGACAAAAGAAGTGGGAGGCAGTGTTGCATATAACCATAAAAAGTTAGTAGCTTGATTGAGGGCGCCTGGGTGGCTCAGTCGTTAAGCATCTGCCTTCGGCTCAGGTCATGGTCCCAGGGTCCTGGGATCGAGCCCCGCATCGGGCTCCCTGCTCCGCGGGGAGCCTGCTCCTCCCTCTCCCACTCCCCCTGCTTGTGTCCCCTCTCTCGCTGTCTCTCTCTCTGCCAAATAAATAAATAAAATATTTAAAAAAAAAAGTTAGTAGCTTGATTGAATAAAGATCTGTTATTCAGTAAGTACATGAGAACCCAGAAGAAAGTAACAGCCAGTTCTCAGAAAAAGGAAACAGGCTCATCAGTGAATGTATAGACAGGTCTTGATTTCACTAGTAAGCAAAAAGGGAGATGCAGAGTAAAACTCCAACGAAATACCATCTCATTTTCATCAGATTCACTAAAATTAATAAGCCTGATAGCATCAAGTGTGGCGAGGATGTGGGGAATGGGAGCTTCTATCACTGCTGATAGAAACGTGGGCCATTAAGATCCTAAGGAGAGCAGTTGGCGTCGTATGTCGGTTTAAACCTTTGTATTCCTGTGAGTCCAGGGTTCCATGTGTATGCCCTGGAGCAGCTCTTGCATATATGTACAAGCAAGTTCATTGCAGCATAATCTGAAAAAGCTGAAAATTGGCAACAATCCAAATGTCCATCAATAGGGGATTGTAATAAACAACTTTTATGGTTTAGTTGTATAATCGAATGCTATACAGCAGTTAAAATAAATGAGCTAGAATCTTCTTACATATATCAACATAGATAAATCTTGATGACAGTGTTTAGAGAAACAAAGCGAGTTTCAGAAGTATATATGTAATATAGCACTCATGTAAATTTTTTTAAAAACCCACAAAACTGGAGTATATAGACTTTGTGGATACATATGCAGGTGGTCAAGATTTTTTTTTTTTTTTTAAGATTTTTTTTTTAAAATTTATTTGAGACAGAGAGAACGAGAGAGAGAGAGCACATGAGAGGGGGGAGGGTCAGAGGCAGAAGCAGGCTCCTTGCCGAGCAGGGAGCTCGATGCGGGACTTGATCCCGGGACTCCGGGATCATGACCTGAGCCGAAGGCAGTCGCTTAACCAACTGAGCCACCCAGGCGCCCCGGTGGTCAAGATTTAAAAACAGCGGGGCGCCTGGGTGGCTCAGATGGTTAAGCGTCTGCCTTTGGCTCAGGTCATGATCCCAGGGTCCTGGGATCGAGTCCCGCATCGGGCTCCCTGCTCCTTGGGAGCCTGCTTCTCCCTCTGCCTCTCTCTCTCTCTCTCTCTGTCTCTCATGAATAAATAAATAAAATCTTTAAAAAAAAAAAGATTTAAAAACAGGAATGATCCACCCTGACATCAGGATAGTAATTGCCTCTGAGGAGGGAAGGGTGTGAGGAGGGTCTGTCCTCAAAGATACCAATATTCTTTATATTTTTAAATCTGAAGGCAAGAAGGGCAGCCTACCATTCCTTAAATCTTGGTGGTGTGCACAGGATCTTCATTTGTCTCTGTATTTTTTGATATACTTTACATACACATTTTGAATTTTTCCACATGCCTTTTCACTATGTAGAGATAGTTTATGCTTTAAGCTAATAACATAATGAATTTTATTAATAATTTAATGAACTTTATTAATTTGAATTTTGGTATGAAACCTACTGACCCATTTAAAAAGTGTATTGCTGGATTCTGTTTTCTAATACTTTATTTAGGATTTTTACATTAATATTCATGAGAGTTGTCTCATTTTTTTCTTCCTCTCTTTCGGTGCTCCCTTCATTAGATTTTGGTTTCAGTGTTACGCTGACTTCCTATTTGGAGCAGTTCGAGTATCATCAGAATTGTGTGTTCCTTGTAGTTTGGTAGAGTTCATGTTTATAACTTACTGTATGTATTTGATACCATACTTTGCCTGAAGGGTTAGTTCTTGGATAACTGTTTTTGTATCTATATGGCTGATTGGGTTTTTGTCCCTGTCTTCAGGGATCAGTTTGGTATTTCTGTTTTCCTGGAAAATCACCAGTGTTTCCAATTTATTGGACAAGATAATCCTTTAATGTTCTTTTCGTTTCTACTACATCTGTGGTGGTTTTCCTGTTCTCATTCATTACTTAGTGTATTTGTGCTTTTTCTTTCTTTTTTTTTTTTTCTAGTTCGGGTCAGCTAATTGCTCAGTTATTTGGGTATTTCTTCTTTTTTTTTTTTTTAAAGATTTTATTTATTTGACAGAGAGAGACACAGCGAAAGCAGGAACACAAGCAGGGGGAGTGGGAGAGGGAGAAGCAGGCTCCTCGCTGAGCAGGGTGCCCGACGCGGGGCTCGATCCCAGGACCCTGGGATCATGACCTGAACCAAAGGCAGACGCTTAAAGACTGAGCCACCCAGGCGCCCCTGGGTATTTCTTCTTAAAGTAACCAGCTGTTCAATTTATTCTTATTATAACTACTCTTTTTTTAATTCAGTACTTTTTGCTTTTTTCTTTATTCCTTCCTTTTGCTTTGTTTTTCATTTTTTTGTAACTTCTTGAGATTGCTTATTTTCCTTATTACTTATTAATACTAGCAGTGAAAGCTATGAATATTCCTTGGATCTCATGTGGCTCAGGACATACTACCCCAAAATATGGCACACTCCTTAATCTATCATAGTCCTCAACCATTACCCACTCTTCTTCAAACCTAGCATGAAAATACACAGGTCTGATTGCTTCTTTGGGTCTTCCATTTCCTTATGAAGGCTTCCATGTCACGGAAAACTTATTAAATAAATTTAAATGCTTTTCTTCTGTTAATTTTTGTCAGTTTAATTTTTAGACCCAGCCAGGAATCTTAAAGAGAGTCGAGGAACACTTTTTCCTGCTTTAGTTGTATCAGAGCTTCTGATATGTTAGGATTTCATCATTATTTTGTACTTCTTCATCAATATTCAGGTTTGAATTCCTCTTTATTCAGAATTTAGAATCTCTGGTAACTCAGACTTTCTCCAAAAAAGCGTAGAAATGACTAACACACTAAATTTTTCTGATATATTATGTAGCCAAAGAAATCATCCCCAGTGCAGGAAATGTCCCCAGTGTGGCACCCCGGCCATGGTGTTTAGAGATGACATGGGGCTATTAGGGCTGCTTTTAATGTGTGTGGGGCATTGGGGAGGGGGTGAGGCTGGTCTAGAATTACAGTCTTTCCTTTCAATTGCCTTCATTCCCCTGATAGCTCAGGGCTGGAAGCTCTTACATAAAACAAGGTATTTTCCTTGGAATGGCATGCTTAATTTTGCCAGTTCTCTTTTCAAGTGACTCACATTTCAAGGGCACTGTGGGATCTGCATCATGGGATCTGCCTTTGGATGTTGAATTCAGATTATGTGACGGATAGTTTTAGCTATATATGGGTGTGCCCTGACAACTGTCCTGTTGTGGTATTGTAGCCATCATATTTTCATAATTACGAAATATTTTAAATAAATGTGTTGTTATAAAAATGAATGCTAAAAAAAAATAGAAAATGCTAATGTTAGTGAAAAATGTGATGACTCCTTCCCTTCAGTCAAATACACATTTGATCAAATAAGCATTTGATTGAAGGGAGTTGTCTATGTGTTCAGCTGTAAAAGAAAATTAAAATTAAAGGTATTCATGTTGGTTTTGCATCATATAATATTGTCTACTTCCCCGCTCCCTCCTCCGCCACATCACCTTAGGCCTTTGGACAACTCTTCATACTCAGCTTACTATGCTTTTTCAGGAATTTGTTAAATATCAGAGTAGAAGATTCTGTACACTTCTTGTTTGAATTTACTCCGGTCTGTAGGTATGTTCAGGGTTCCAGCAGAATTCATGCCCATTCTCAAGTTCTTCCCTCCAAATTAGAGGAGAGGAGTAACCTCCCACGTTCCCAGCTGTACCGAATCGGAAGGCCTTTAAGACGGTGTAATGAATGCTTACCGTTGGTAAGATGAGATGTGCTGTCACTGTTCACTTCCAGGGCTGGACCAGGGTGGGGCCAGCACCTCACAAGATGAGGCCTTGGACGCAGGACTCATTCTTGCTCTTGTGCATGTTCGGAGTTGGCAACTGCATGGTTGCGACCCTGAGAGGCAGCACCCCCTCAAATTTTGTGCACTGGGACCTTGGTTTGCCTCACCCTAGTCCCAGCCCTATCCAGTTCCTCTGCCTGTCCATGTTTCCTCCTTCTCCAGATACCATCTCCGTGAGCTTGTTTGTCCTCAGGGTAACTTAGAAGCCACCCACTTGTCCATCCCAGTGTCCAGATAACTTTTGCTCACTGCTGACCAGAACTGGGTGAGAACCAGTAATTGTTACTGACTGGTTGAGAGATGATGCCAGTGCTGCTTGTCAGGGTTACGTACTCTGTAGTGAAGATCTGTTCCTGGTCGCTTATTTCTAAATTCAGTCCTCCATGATCCCATTAGGACAGAGGAGGCTGGTAGATGCGGTGACCCTCGATCTCCAGCAGGATCAAGGTGCTCCTCAAAATATGGCTTGGTGGTAGACGTGTGATGTTCTTTCTGCCCACCCTTGTCATTTTCGAGGCAACTAAAACCAGGGGTTTCTTGGAAGTAGCAGAGGAGCTGTTGTCAATGAAATGGAAGCAGTTTCCTTAGAACTTTCCAAGATTTATATACTACTGTGTTTTCAGGTCAAACGATAGATTAGCTTTTACATCAAACCTGGTTGAGTGACTATGAAGAATAATTTGGAAAGTCTCTAAGGCCTGTGAATGCTCACACTAGTTTATTTTTATTTACGTGGGAGAATGGGGAAGGAATTTTAAAAAGGGAGCAGTATGCTGTGCCCAAACTCTCTTACTATTTACTACCCCCTGAGACTAGTTGCATTTTGAACTAGGTGCAGGGATGAACGTATGTGGTCAGTTTATCAGTTCGGTACTGCTGTGTCACAAGCGATCTCTAAATTTAGTGGCTTAGTGGGTCCTTCCTCAAGTGGTGCAAGTAGTTAGTGACTCCCGTGCTCGCTTCCCATTGGACTTCCTTCAGAGTGTGATCCACATTTCTCCAGTCTGAGTGGAGTTTTCGCTGTCTAGTCAACACTTCCGTGTTTTAGGCTCTCTACTCTCCCCACGTGGAATTCTTTCTTCTTCTTGGTTGTGACCCATGTCCTGTGGATTCATTAGGAGGTGCCTTAAGTTTTCAGTCTCTTTAAATACCTCTCTTAATTCTTCATTCTATCTCAGATACTTAGTGAATGCCAGTTGTAGAAATGACACCCCTTGGGTGGGTCAGGAATGGGCATGTGGTCCCTTCCGGCCGGTGAGAGGTCAGGGGAAGTCCGCTAGAAGAGTGCGGGGAAAAGCTAGAAGAGAAGACAGTTTGTCTCGTTCTTTTCAACGTTGTTTGGCCTGGAACTATGGCCTCCATCTTGCTGCCAGCGCAGGGCGGAGCAAGATGGGCAGAGGCGAGGTCCTTGACATTGTTAAGCCACTGAAGCAATCAACTCTGGAGTCTCCACTATCCTGGCGTCAGGTGGAATACAAGATTTTTGTATTTGAACCAACTTCAGACCCAAAGCTTTCAATTGCAACAGAGAACTTGTAACCGCACCCATGGCCCTCTGCGTAGTATTGCAGTTCTAGAATGTAGGATTTGGCATCTGATGGACTCTTAACTTTGTTTTGGTGCCCACGTAATTATATCATTTAATCCTTCTAATATAATCATTTCATAGATTAAGGAAACTGAGGTTCAGAGTTAACTGAGCTTGTGAGTAGGGCCTGAAATAAAATCAGATTTATTTGGCCCAGCTTCTCAGAGCCTCATTATTTAATGTGAAAAATGGGCTACTCTATAATGCCAACCTCCTAGGGTTGTTGGGAGATTAAATGAGATAATTTAGAGCACTTCAACACCGGGTCTGTTACACAGGCATCGTCAATAAATAGCTGCTACTGTTTTATTATTCCTGTTGCTGTTATTATTCCCTCCTCTGTGCTCACCACTTTACTATGGTGTCTGGCATGGTTTAGGCCCTTCGTAAGTATTTGCTGACTCATGAATGATTCAATGGATGATTTCTCTGATTCTGTTAATTATAGTGCTCAGGCATATCGTCCCTCACCACGCATGCTATTTCACTGCTTCACTAAGGTTTCTGGTCTCCCCAGGGACATTGACATTCATGTTCCTTGACAGTAGGGAGCAAATCTCACCCTTTGCAATTCTCTTTACTACCTGGTTCAGTGGTAGGCATTTGAAGTTTATTAAAAATTAAATATTTGCCATATTAAGAAGTGTTTTTCAAGAACTTTGTTTGGAACAGCTGGCCACTTTCATTGACTCTCAACATTTTCAGAGGAATCGAAAGTTTTGTAAAGTATCCCATTGTTACCAGTTTTTTGGGCCCGATTAATAGATTGAAGAGAATTTATTTTATGGATCACTTCTGAAATTCCTATTTGCCTTATATAGCACTTTATACCTGAGGAACTAAAAAAAAAAAAATTCTTTATAAAGATTTCCTTTACTCGTCAGATTCTCAGTGAGACACGAAAAGAATTATAGTGCCTCCATCTCATGAGTTTGTTAATAACTTTTTTTTTTGCTTCCTGAGAGACAACTGAGTCTGATTTTGAGTCTGAATTTCTTTTTTTTTTTTTTTTTAAAGATTTTATTTATTTATTTGACAGAGAGAGACACAGCGAGAGAGGGAACACAAGCAGGGGGAGTGGGAGAGGGAGAAGCAGGCTTCCCGCTGAGCAGGGAGCCCGATGTGGGGCTCGATCCCAGGACCCTGGGATCATGACCTGAGCCGAAGGCAGACGCTCAACGACTGAGCCACCCAGGCGCCCCTGAGTCTGAATTTCTGACTTCTAGCTTATGCTTATGCCCTACATTATACCTTCTCTCAGGAACTATAAGTCCGTAGTCCTTCTTAGGACAGCACAAACTACCTTGTAGGGGTAGTTTACGATAAATGTGGTCGGAACAGCCCAGTAAACTACATTTCTCTGTTTTAATCTATTGCTTTACTCTTGTAATAATCTTTTCCCCCCTCCCCAATACAGTGAGTGCTATACCATATAATTTTGCTGTATTTGTATTACCCATAAAGATGGAAGGGTTGTCATTCTGTCTGTCTGCTTAAGTAAGTTAACGGATGCTTTTGGAGCCTGGCTTTCTCTTTTTTAGGTTTTTATGAAGAATGGATAAGCATTTTTTGGTGAGAATGAAATCTGATTTGCTAATAAAGATATAGGGTTGTAATATACAATTGCCTTTTATTTCTAAGTATATTGAAGACTTAGTGCAACACTGTCAAGGTGGTGTTCAAGGAGATCACGGGTCTTTTTGGTCTTAGGGTCCATGGCTAAAAAAGACCCAAGAGCCTTTGAAATACCTTGATATTTCTTTGCTTTCTTTTAATTGCTCATCTTCTTGAAATAATTCTCCCACAATCAACATTCAACAAATATTTACTGGGCATACGCTCAGTAAATGATGTGACTGGGGCCCGACTTCTTAAAAAAAAAAAACCCCAAGAAACCCCGATTTCATTTTCCTGCCCATCGCTTTACTATAATCTGACTTTTCAAAAGTGCACAGTGGCCTTCTTAAACCCAGTGGCGTACCAGTCAGGGGAGTTGATTCAGGAAGACAGAAGCTATTCTGTTTTCCAAGGCATAGATGGCTTACTCCCCAGCGAGCTGTTCCTAGGGAAGCGCGGAGAAGCTGGCGTGGAAGGTGGAGGCCTGAGCGAGGACATGGCTTCTAAACCACACGGGAGTGCGCTCCTCTCCTTGCAGCCCCCCCGGGGGGCTGTCCAGGCGAAGGGGCGCTGAGACAGGATTTGTGGCCCCCGCCACACTGTGGAGCGGGCGAGGTGACAGCCCCAGGTCCAGCACCAGAGGCCCTCCCCAGTCTTCCTTCTCCTCGGTCCTCCTTCCGTGTGTGACCCTGTGACTCCTTTCACCGGCTTGGAGCTTGTCTGCCTTGCCTTGCATCAGAGTTTCTCTCTCGGCTTTTGTCTCCTTCCCCTTCATTTGTGGCCATTCTCCCAGCCCACCTGTGTCTTAAAGCTTTGGGTCACACCTCGGAAGAGCTTTGTCCTCGTGTCTTTGTTCTTCACCGTGTTGTCTCCTTTTGGGACTCTGGCTGCCCTCATGTCAGTGGTCATTCCTTTGTGTTGGCATGCCTCCCCGTTGGAAATATGTTCCCTGACAGCCAAGTCCCCTGTTGGAAATACGTTCCATAGACAGCCAAGTCCCAGCCATTCATTCTCTTAGCAGCTTCCTCCCTTACTAAATATATTAGGTAGACAATGAAAGTCTCTTGCAGTTTCTACTCAAAAGACGTTATATTGTTAACCGGATGTTATGGATTTGTTCCCTTTCCTAAAAAAAAAAAAATGCATGTAGTGACACACTTATTCTTTGTAAACCAAACGGGATAATATTAGACATAGTTTATAGCTTAAGCTTTTCACTTAATATCTTAGATATCTTTCCCTATTAGTTCATGTAGCTTTAATGCACGCTTTTAATTAATAGCATTGGATAAAAGTTTCTTAAGAGTATTTACTTGTAGTATTTGTGTTTCTGTCAATAGGCATTGGGATTGTTTCTAGTTTTTTGCTCTAGTAAATGATACCCCAGTGACTGTCCTTATATGTACAACTTTGTGCGCTTTTAAATTTAAGTATTTTATTTTGAAATTATTTTAATCCTACAGAAAAATGGCAAAAATGGTACAGAGAACTCTGGCTTACTCTTTATCCAGGCTCACCAAGTATTTTGAACATTTTTGCTGCATTTGCTTTATCATTTTCTCTTTTGTTCTCTTTCGAAAATTTATAACTTTGTTTGCTGAACCATGTGAGAGTTGCATACCTTCTGTCCCCTCACCCCACGTCACTTCAGCGTGCATGTTCGAGAACAAAGTTGTCTTCTTCTCCAACCACAACACGGTTTCCAGACGCGCAGAACTGATGTAGCACTTTAATCTGCTGTCAATGTGGCACTTGGTCAGTTGCCCCCGTGATGTCCTTTCCTTCCTCCCGTGGAGGGTTCCGAGCTAAGTATTGCACTTAGTTGTCATGTCTTCTTTCGTTTCCTTTAATTTGGAACATGGACCATCAGTCTTTTATGACCGTGACATTTCTGAAGAGTACAGATCAGCTGTTTTGTAACATGGTCCTCGGTGTGGGCTTGTCGGATGCTATGCCGTGATTGGACCCCTGGCTCTTCATTCCGGGCAGAGGGTCCCACTTGCGCTGTGTTATGTTGTACCCTTTTCCTTTGTCGCAGCAGGGATGCATTGGGTCCTCTTCTGCCTTGATCATGCTGTGTTTGATCACTCAAAGTGTCGTCTTGTTTCTCCATGTGTTTCGTCACTCGTGTCTTCTAAATCTCATGTGAGCTCCTCTCGTCGCCGGCTCACCTGGAACCATCCAGACAAAGACGTTATGAGCGATGATGCTCCGTTTTACCTTGCGGCTAACAAGCAGTCTGTGGGGAGACACTTGGAGAACATAAAAAAGTCCTGTTCCCTAGCAGATTTCCCCTTAGATTTCGCATCCACGATGCTCGCACTTTTACCTGCTCTCATCTTTGCTCTGTAGATTGCAGAATATGATTTTCTGTCTTTCCCGTTCTCCTTGCTTTTATTCCTCATCATGGTGTAAGGACGAGCCTGCCGCTGTCCCCTATTTTTATATATCTGTTTATTATCATTGTGGCTGATAAGCTATTACTGTCCTCTGGGTCCTTAAGTTCTGACCCCTTCGGTGTGCGAGATTTCTTTGCAGAATAAATTTCTAGATGTGAAATTGCCGTCTGTGTACATGTACACTTTTCATAGGTATTTTCAGATTTGCCCTCACAAAGTGCATTCATTCCCACCAGCAGTGTTTGAGAATGCTTCTTTCCTCACAGCTCTGCTGATTCTGGGGTCTGCAGTCTTCCTGTCTTTCCTGATCTGACAGGGGTGGGGTGGGTGGAGAGCCACATTGTTTTAATGCACATTTCTTGAACTGTTAGATTGGATTCTTTTAATAGCTTCCTTGGAAAATGTTTTTCTCATTTTTAAATTGGGTTGTCTCTTTTCTTATGATCTGTAAAAGCTCTTATTTAAATAATTAGAGCAGTTAGTCATTTGCTAATGTACTATATATACATTTTTTCCATATAGATTTTACAGAGTTTTGTGGTGTTTAATGTTTTGAATTTTTATTTAATGAAATTTCCCAGTCTTTTCTCTTATGCTTCTGGGTTTTGTCAAATGCCTAGCAAGGCCTTCTCTGTGTGAGGATTATGAAAATATCCTTCTATTTTTTTCTAGTCTTTTTAATTTTTTTTAAAGATCTTATTTATTTATTAGAGAGAGAAAGCGTGAGCAGGGGGGAAGAGGCAGAGGGAGAGGGAGAAGCAGGCTCCCCGCTTAGCAGGGGGCCTGATGTGGGGCTCAATACCAGGACTCTGTGGGATCATGACCTGAGCTGAAGACAGATGCTTAACCCAGCTGAGCCACCCAGGCGCCCCTCTAGTCTTTTTTAAAAGAAATTATTTTATACATGTAATCTTCAAGTCATCAGGAATATATTTTCCCATTATTATTTCACATGTTCAAGGTCAAACTCCTTCCCTTTCCTTTGCAAATCAATTGTACCTTCCAGTGATGTTTGTACCATTCTAATTAACACCATGCAGGTGCAGGGTCTCCTTTGACTCTTCTCTCATCAAAAGCCTTTTTCCTTGGCTCTTGCCAAAAGACATCCCCCTTGTTCTTAACCTTAATCTTTGACTCCGCCTACTCTGTTTTTTTGATTGGTCTTCTTTTAACTCTTTAAATATGAGTGTTTTTCAAAATTCTGTGTTAAGTAGGGGCCATGTACCTTGCTGCCAGTGTGTCATGTGGGCCAGCCACAATGCTTGGCACATAGAGAAGTTGAGTTTCTTGAATGACTAGGTATCAGTGGGTGAATGTACTTCTGTCCTTGTTCTCCAGCTACTTTCACCATACTTCCACGCTGACATTCAGATACTACCTCCAAAATAAAATGTCCCAAAATAGTCTCATGCAGTAAACATAGGATATTTAAACAAGATATTTTATGACATTCTCATGAAGATCCTGGTGAAATATGGACTAACTTTTTGTTAGGCATATTAGTAATTGAGTGACCATCCCCAAAAGGTGTCTGCAAGGGAGGAAGGGATTGGTGGAGCCTGGAGGAGGTTTCTTTGGGCTTGTTCTAGGATTTTCAGATTAGCAGATAGGATAGAGTGGGGAAGGATCAAGTACATGGCAGATTACCATGCGTTGTGCATTTGGATGAAGTAAGGAACTAAATGAAATCTAATGCAATAATATAAGGCCTTGTAAAAGGTTCTAAAAACCTATCATGTAAGTACAGTATTGCCTGGTGGAAATGTAAGGGGAAATGACTTAGAAGTTTTAATTGATAATTTGGGTTTAACATAAGTAGAGTGTGATCTTATTTCTGAAAATGTTAAGGTGCCCCTGTCTGATCAGGGGAGTAAGGTCTGATTTTTCCTGTGAGAAATTATATTTAGAATATTATATCTGGTTTAGGAATGCCAGTCCCCCAGAGCTCATTCAGAGCTAAGGGCATAAGGGATTGTGACTGGGAACTACATCATGGGAGGAATGGTTGGTGAGAAGGCGAATGCTTAGCCCAAAGAAGAGGATATTTCAGGGGGCAGGGAGTTTCTCATAAGTGGGTGATCATATGATTTACTATCCAAAGCAGGACTCTTTGAGAGTGAAAGAGGTCAGTATTAATAATTATGCTGGGATGATGGGCATGGGCAAGTGGAAACATATGGTCGCCTACTTATAATCTTCAAATATTTGAAGGTCTCTTACATGAAAGAAAGATTAGACCTCATCTGTGGGAGAGAGTGGGCCAGTCAGTGCACACAACTACCAGAAGACATGTGTCTTTCTCCTTATAATGAGCCACAATCTAGTTCTGATTCTTTGTTGGGGAATGGGACGGACTGCTTTACAAGGTGGTATGTTTCTCATCACTGCGGACGCCAAGAATTTGTATAGCTGCCCTTTCTAAGTCTTGATAATACACAGCTGAGATAAATCCGTTTGTACCAACCCATCAAATATTTGTGTATGTATTCCTTCCAGGTACTATGCAAATGTCCATTTTCTCATTACGTTTGGCTTAACCATTTGTATACTCATGACCCTGCGCCGTTCCCTGGAGAAGGTTCGGATCCCCATCTCTGAGGGCTGTTATGGTAGACCTCATTCTGCGGTCGTGGGATCTCTTCTCCTGCTGCGGAATCTGGCCATTCCCTAGTAGGGCGTCACCCCTCCTGCCCATTCCCCAGAATGTGGGGGGGCTGTCATGCCTTTTGTCTCTGGCCTTCCCCACTTTCAGCTCTTCTGTCACCTGGGTGGGGGCAGGTGTCCGTAAGTCCTGCTGTCACCTCTGCTGCTACTATCTTATTCAACTTGTGCATCTCTTTTCCTAAATACCCTTCTGTTACATGGCTTATCTCTGTGAGTCTTGGTTTTTATGCTAAATAAAAGATGTACCTTCTCTTCCTCAGGCCAGAGCCATCTCTTAAACTTTAAGGTGCACAAACTTTGGATCTGTTCCTTTTTTCCTGTGGGTGCCGTGGTCATTCCTTGGGTTCCGCAGGGCACTTAGTCTGTGCCTGATTCTTTGATACCTTGTGTAGCCCTTCACAACAGCTCCAAGAGGCAGATGCCACTGTTTCCGTTTCATTTTCTTTTTTCTTTTTTTTTAAGGTTTTATTTAAGTCATGTCTATACCCACATGGGGCTCGAACTCACAACCCCAAGATCAAGAGTCACATGCTCTTCTGACTGAGCGAGCCAGGTGCCCCAACTGTTTCCATTGTATATGTGAGGTTTAGAAATGTTCATCTCTGCTGGAGGTGACCGAGCCACTAGGCGTGCAAGCTGGATCCAAGCCCGGGTCTCTTCCTTTGTCCACATATTTATTTATTTGTTCGAGCAACATGTGAGTGCCCGCATCATGCCAGCCGCCTTCTTCCCCAGATTCATAGCAAGTCTCCTTCCCTTCTCCCCACAGCCACACACTGGAGGGCACTCTTCTGTACCCTCGGGCTGCCAGATTTCCTCCTGCTTGGTCAGTAAGACAGACCCAGCCACTGTCCCCATGTTGGTTGGCGTCTAGTTGAGTAAACAGATAGAGAATAGGAGTTTTCTTTTAAATGTCACGATATTAAGAACAGAAGTACAGAGTGTAGCAGCAACATGCTGGGTGGCCCTTGACTTACTCTGGGAGTCAGGGAAGCTTCCCAGGGTAGCTGAGGAAGTGACGTTTACTTGGAAACCTGAAGGGTAATAGGAGTTAGCGTGAAAGGGGTGGGATGAGACTGTTTGGGGGACAGAGGAAAGTGCATGTGCAGAGCCTCTGGGCAGGGAGAAACTTGATGCCTTGGAGGTTCAGAAAGAATCCGTGTGTGTGTGTGTGTGTGTGTGTGTACACGCGTGCATGAGAGGGAGAGAGAGAAGGAGGCTTGATAGGAGACTGGGGGTTAGGCAGGGGTTAGATCAAGGTCTTGGTAGTTTATGCTGAGAGCAAGGTATTTTTTTCTTTTAACTGCATGTGTGTTTTGAATAGGTAAAACAGTCACATAAGGGGATTTTCAAAGGACAGCAAAGGGTATGGCAGTGTCGCCTCCTGCCCACCTCCAGTTCTCTTCCCTGGAGACACCTGTAGTTTCACTTCCTGTGTGTCCTTACAGAGATGTCCTGTGCACGTACAGGCAAATACACAGTGATTTATTTTTCCTCACCCTTTTTTTTTTACACAAACAGCAAAATATTATATAGACTGTTCTACACATGTTAACGATTTTAGATCTTGTTCCCTGGCAGTAAAGAAAGAGCTACTTTGTTGGACTGCAGCCCTCCTAGGAGCTTCCCGGGTGTAATCTGAAACCGGCCTCCGTTCGTGGAAGGCAAGGAGAGACCCAAGAAAGTGGCAGGCTGGTAGGTGGCAATTTTCATAAGCAAAGGGAACTTCTATATAAGGCTTACTTGGGCAGCAGCAAGATGAATGGATCCCTGCACCCGCCCGCCAAACCTTACAGGCCTATATAGAGGCCTTACTTGGGTTCAGTCATGTATATGGTGCAGATGTTCGCAACACCACATCACTATCGCAAGGCTCTGTCCTGGGAGCAGCCTCTGGGAGCAAGAAAGGCAAGTGGAACCTGCTTTCTAAGGACAGCAGAGGCGGTGGGGACCCTCTGATGGCCCAGGTCCAGTTCATGGGTCACTTGGCAGTTATGTCTTTTTGATGACCTCTCTCCACATAGTTTCATTCTTCTGTATAGTTGCATGGTATTCTGTTGCAAATATATACTCTGATATATCTAACCAGTCTATGAGAAGTAGAAAAAAGATTGATCGGGAGGGGCAGTATTGCAGAGGTGGGAAATAACTAGGAAGCCATTAGTATTTCAGGCAGGAAGTGATGTTGCCTTGAATTCAAATAGTGGGGGTGGAGCTTATGTGATCAGTGGATCTACAACAAAGGAGGAAAGAATATACAATGGGAACAAAACAATCTTTCTTATAAATATTTCTGGGAAAACTGGACAGCTCCATGCAAAAGAATGAAACTGGGCCACTATCTTACAGGTAGACAGAAATAAACTCAAAATGGATTAAAGATCTAAATGTGAGACCTGAAACCATAAAACTTCTAAAATAAAACATAGGCAGTAATCACTTGGACATTGGCCTTACTAAGACAGACATATTTATGGATATGTCTTTGTAGGCAAGGGAAACAAAAGCAAAAATAAATTATTGGGACTAAACCAAAACAAAAAGCTTTTACACAGCAAAGGAAACCATCAACAGAACAAAAGGCAGTCTATTGAATGGGAGAAGATATTTGCAAGTGACGTATCTGATAAGGGGTCGATATCCAAAATATATAAAGAACTTATACTCAACGCCAAAAATTCCAAACAATCCAATTAAAAAATGGGGAGAGGACCTGAATAGACCTTTTTCCAAAGAAGACATATAGGGGGCCAACAGACACATGAAAAGATGCTCAACATCACTCATCGTTGGGGAAATGCAAATCCAAACCACAATGAGATACCACCTCACACCTGTCAGACTAGAAAGACAAGAAACAACAAGTGTTGGCAAGGATGTGGAGAAAAGGGAACCCTTGCGCACTGTTGGTGGGACTGTAAATTGGTGCAACCACTCTAGAGAACAGTATGGAGGTTCCTCAAAAAAAAAAAAATAGAACTACCATAAGATCCAGTAATTTCACTACTGGGTAATTTTTTTTTAAAGATGTTTTATTTATTTGAGAGAGAGAGACAGAGATAGCGAGAGAGAGTGTGAGTGGGGAGGAGAGGGAGAAGCAGGCTCCCTGCTGAGCAGGGAGCCCGACTTGGGGGCTCCATCCCAGGACCCTGAGATCATGACCTGAGCTGAAGGCAGACGCTTAACCTGCTGAGCCACCCAGGCGTCCCTCATTACTGGGTATTTATCCAAACAAAATGAAAACACTTCGAAAAGATACATGCAGTGCTGTGTTTATTGCAGCATTATTTACCATAGCCAAGATGTGGAAGCAACCTAAGTATCCATTCATAGATGAATGGATAAAGAAGATGTGGATAAAGATGTGTGTATACACACACACACACACACACATATAGTGGAATTTTATTCAGCCATAAAAGAGAATGAAATCTTGCCATTTGTGACAACATGGATGGACCTAGAGGGTATTAAGTGACATAAGTCAGACAGAGGGACAAATACCATATAATTTCACTTATATGTAGCATCTAAAAAACAGAACAGATGAACAAATAAAAAACTGAAAAAACAAACTTAAATACAGAGAACAAATCAGTGGTTGCCAGAGGGGACGTGGGTGGGGATAAGGGCGAAATAGGTGAAGGGCCTTAAGAGGTACAGAGTTCCAGTTATAAAATAAAATAAGTCAGATGAGAAGTACAGCATAAGGAATATAGTCAATAATACTATAATAACACTGTATAGTAACAGATGGCAACTATACTTATTGTGGTGAGCACTGAGTAATGTATAGAATTGTTGAATCACTATGTTGTACACCTGAAACTAATTAGAATGTTGTATGTCAACTCTACAACAATAATTTTGTTAAAATGTGAAGAGAAATGGTGGTGGAGATAAGAGCTCGAGTGTCTGTATATTGGAGAGATTTAGTGTTAAGCAGCAAGAGGATCTGTTGATTGATGGCATATTAGGGGTGAAACACAGGGATGTCTTCCAGCCTTTCAAGCTTGAGCAGTTGGGTGGACAGTGATGTTATTTTACAAGTTGGTTGACATGAAACTTTGTAAAGGCAAGGTTGAGTTTAATTGTACACTTGTTGAATTTAAGGAATTTGTGAGATGTGCAGATGGAGATGCGAAGTTGTCATTTGACTATTGGAGTCTAGAGCTCAGAAGAGAGGATTAGTCCTAGGATATAAATTTGGGAGCTATTATTGTATAGTGATGCACAGTTACAACTATGGTAATTCACATTTTGGGAATGCTTGAGATCACCCTGATCAGTGACCTGGTCAAAATGTTGATGTGGTGGAAAGTGCTTAAAAAAGGCATGTCCTTTTAGACTTTGAGATAATGATACACAGTTGATCCTGGAACAACATGGGTTTGAACTGCGTGGGTCTGCTTACATGTAGATTTTTTACCGTATGGTACTGTCAATGTGTTTCTCTTACGATTTTCTTAACATTTTTTCTCTAGCTTGTTTTATTGTAAGAATACAGTATATAATTTTTATATATAATCTCTCTTTATGTATATATATGTGTATATAACATACTAAATATGAGTTAATTGACTTTATGTTATCGGTAAGGCTTCTGGTCAACAGTAGGCTATTAGTAGTTAAGTTTCTGGGAGTCGAGTTATGCACAGATTTTCAATTGCATGAGGCTCAGTGTTGTTCAAGGGTCAACTGTACCCAGTTCTGTAAGGTTGTTAGTAAAGTCTCCTGAATGAGTTTGTAGAGATGATTACAGTTTGTTGTTTGATAACAATTAGCACATGAATTAGAATTTAACTTTTCGTGTGCTGCTAAGAAGTTGGCTCTTTTTTTTTTTTTTTTTTAAGATTTTATTTATTTATTTGCTAGAGAGAGTGAGAGTATACAAGCACAAAGAGGGGCAGGCAGAGGGAGAAGCAGACTCCCCGCTGAGCAGGGAGCCCGACACAGGACTCGATCCCAGGACCCTGGGATCATGACCCGATCCGAAGGCAGCCTCCCAACTGAATGAGCCACCCAGGCGCCCCAAGAAGTTGGCTCTTACACAACTTCACAAAGCGTATTTATTTCAAATGCTTAACAGTTGGAATTCTGCAGTTTTTTTTCTAGCCACTCATTTACTCATGTTAACATGTGTTGAGTTCCTACCTTGTTCTGGAAGGATGTTCATATTTAGTGTTCTCTGGAGGTAGTCATTGTTCCCATTTGCTTCTTCTGCTTTGTAATCATTAATTTCAGTTACCTGAGTGTCATTAACTTCAACTGAGTTCTCTGAGTTATTTTAACAAAGTGTAGCGATGCACGTTTCCAGCAATGGTATTTCTTACCCATATTTTCTAGTAACAAAACTTCAGACCTATATGAATTGTGGTTAAAATATGAACTGTCCCATATATGTGCTTATTGCTAAATAGGGAAGTAAATACAATAGTCCTCTCAGACTTTTCTTATATAGCCACAAGTGTCTTAGTCCTGAGTTCTTTTTCCAAGAAAGAGTAGCAATGGGAGGTGGAGGACGTGGCTTGTGAGGAATTTAGCTCCTTCAAGGTGGCTACCTTAGTCAAAGAAATTTCAGAGCCATTGGCCTAGTATAATGGCTATCAACTCTGACTTAAGCAGTAACTTAAAAAAACAAAAACCAAAAACCAAATTATACATGCTTTGTCCTTACCCTAGAAAGAAACCATACCAAACCAAAAAAATTTTAGACATTGAAACCATTATGAAAAACAAAAACCACTATATAACTATGTAGGAACTATGAGTATTCTGGTAGTTAAAGTATCATAGTTTTGTAAGGAAAACAGGGTGGTAGATGCAAAGCCTAACATTTGATAGATATATTCCCTCTTTTGAGAGTCCTAACTTTCTAAAAAACCGTTTTAACCACATTAAAACTGAATTCTTTCTCACAACTCAGTAATAAGAATACCAACAACCTAGTAAGGGTCAGGCAAAAGATTTGGGCAGACTCTTGACCAAAGAAGTTATACTGATGAAAAAAAAATGCATGAAAGATGCTCAGTATCATTTGTCATTAAGCTGCAAATTAAAACCGAGTGAGATACCACTGCACAGGAGGGGCTAAAGCAAGCAAACAGCAAGCAGTTGCTAACCCCCAGCGCCGGTGACGATGTGTGACCGCTGGGACTCTCCGCCATTGCTTGTGGGGATGAGCATGGTGCACGCACTTTGGGGAGCAATGTAACCTACCTTTACCACTCAATCCCACATTCCCACTCCTAGGTTTTTATTCAAGAGAAACGAAAGCATGTGTCCATTGATGACTGAGTGGAGAAACAAACTGGCACTTCTATACCAAGATTCTACTCAATAGTAAAAAGTAACAAGCTGTTAATACAGGAAACAGCATGGATGAATCTCAAATGCATTATGCTAAATCAGTGTCTGTCAACCTTTTAAAAATTACTACACTACTCCAGCCTTTTCAGATTTTTTTCCCCCTAAGTGCCCATTTCCTTCGTGAAATTTTAATGCCACAGATACGTTTTCTATTGTGCTGGGGCCCTTTGGAGAACCTAGACCAGTGTAATATCTAAGGTTTTTGCACCTGCCAGGAACCAGTTTTTACCTCCTGGGGACAGTATTGCCCTCACTACTCCGTTGAGAATTCATGGGCTAAGTGAAGGAAGCCAAATTCATGGATTTATATGCCATTCTAGAAAAGGAAAAATTATCAAATCACAGGAAAGGTCTGTGGTTACCAGGTAGGAGGGGTCACAGAGGAGTATGAGGGAACTTTGGGAGGTGATGGAAATGTTCTGTTCCTTAATCATGGTGATGGTTGTACTGTAGGATGAATTTGTCAGAATTACTAGATTGTACCCCAAAAGGGTGAATGTTAAGGTATTTACAACCTTAATAAGCCTGCCTTTCCCAAACATAGCTTCCTGGGTTAAACCTGGAAGGGTTTTTGGGAAGTAAGAAGATTGGAAGCATCAGAGGCCAATTATTTTGGAATCTACCATCACGAAGTGTGGTCTGTATGCTGAGAGAGTCACATATGAAATCATAAATAACCCATAAAGCTTTCTGGAAACACACAGATGTGTACACACACAAACACACACACACACACAAACAATGGGAAATCCAGGGGGCAGTGAAAGAATAGTGTAAGTGGAGGTTGTCTAGGGAGTCATTGAGGGCTTGATGACCCAGACTCCTGAGGACAGGGGCTAATCTAGATAAATCAAAGTCCTAGTTTTTCCTTGAGAATTGCTAAAACCAAGTTGAGATTTAATTTGCAAAGAGAGAACAGAAGAAAAGCTGCCTTCTATTTCTTAGTTGGAAGCTGGCTTATTGTTTGTCAGTCTGACTTTGGGTAAAAGTTCCCCAGTTCCTGTGGCATCCAATGGGGGAAAAGTTTTTTACACTACATTTGCTTTTTTTTAATTTTTTTTTTTTTTTTTTACGTAAGCTCTCTGTCCAATGTGGGGCTTGAATTTATGACTCTGAGATTAAGAGTCACATACTCTACCGACTAAGCCAGTGAGGCGCCCCTACGTTTGCTTTTTTAATAGTTAAATCTGAGACTTTTCTCCCTTACTGCAATCCCCAACTGAGGTATATCAAGGTATCAAGAGGTATCTGGTATCAAGAGGAGCCTGGAGAAGCAGGGGTGGTGGAAATACAGGTTTTGCTTTTGGAATACCTTTAACAAAGGTATTTGAATTTGCACGTGTTACCAAGAAATGGAGTTTCCTCTTCCGTTAAAGTTCTTATGTATAATCATGGTATGCATCTGATTCTGAGCCAAAATGTTATATTTTTAAATGCTCTGGTAACAAATGAGCTTTTTTTCCCTCTTCTTCTTCTTCTTCTTCTTTTGAAAGCCCTTACTGAACTGTCACATATTTTGGGAAGTTTCCCAGATGGTGGTGTAAGGAAAATTCTGCTTCTTGTAATCTTCCTGCTGCAGTAGTTGGTATAGGGGTTGTAGTGAAGGTTGTTAACGACCGCAGATATTAAGGACATCACCTTACGGGCTGTATCTTAGGATATCTGAAAGTCATGAAGAAGATATTACTGACTTCATTGATCCCAGAGAGACAGGCATCTTGTCAGTACCGGTTAGTTGATATTTCCAGCGTGCCTTCCGGGATTGGAATCACTTTTTCTAGGAACACAAAGAATACAAATGAAACTGAAGAAACTCGGTCTTTTACTTAAATCACACTTCCACCTGGCCTCGTGGATCATTGGCCCCTAACCTGTTGTCTATCGCCATTACTGCAGGTCTTCTGTTAGATGTATCACTGTTGATGTTGACCTTGATTTGGCTGAAGTAGGGTCTCTCAGGTCTTTTGACTATAAAGTTACCTTTTCTTTCCCCCGGCCCATGCTGGCCTTTTGGGAACGAAATCACTATGCGTAGCCCCCACTTACAGAGCAGGGAGTTATGCTCTACCTCCTTGAACATGCAGTAGGTACATAAATTAAAGCAGTACTTTTATAAGCTGGCAATAGAAAATTTGAAACCAGAATTAAAACGGTATCATCACAAAACCTAATGTACACAAAACTATCATCTTTAAAGTGCTTAAAATGCCAGTGGAAATCAAGGTATGCCTAAATGAATGGGGAGACATATTCTTGAATTGGAATACGAAGAGTGAGGATGTCAGTTCTTCTCAAATTGTTTAAACTCAATTCCAGTATAACTCTCTACAGGATTTTTTTTTTTTTCTGGATATACACAAACTGATTCTAAAATTTATCTGAAGAGGTAAAGGAGCTAGAAAACAGAAAAGAATTTTGCGAAAGAGGAGTAAGTTTGGAGTAATCACACTATCCAATTATAAGACTTACTGTGAAGTTTTAGTAACTTTATTAGTCAGTTTTCCCCAAAGACACAACTGATAGGAGATAAGTTTAAGGAATTGGCCCACACAGTTGTAGAAGCTGGTAAGTCCAAAATAGGGTAGGCCAGTGGGCTGGAGACTACGGAAGAATTGATGTGGTAGCTTGAGTCTGAGGGGGTGGTTTGCAGACAGAATTCCCTCTTCCTCTGGGATCAGTGTTCTGTTTTGTTTTTTCTTGTAAGACCTTAACATTTAATGTTAATTTCTTCCAGAAAGTACCTTCATAGCGACATCTTGACTCAGGTTTGACCAAATATCTGGGAACTGTCACCTAGTCAAGTTGACGCATAAAATTACCCACCAGGAATTAAGACAGTGTGGTATTTGTGAAGGGTAGACATGCAGATCAGTGGGACATAATAGAGAATCCAGAGATAAACTTACACAAATGTGAGCGATTGACTTTTGAAAATGGCTCAGATGCAGTTTAATGAAAAAAGGATACTTTTTTCAACAAATGGCATTAAAACAATTGAACATCAGGGGCGCCTGGGTGGGTCAGTTTAGCATCCGACTCTTGGTTTCTGCTCATGTGATCTCAGGGTTGTGAGAATGAGCTCTGCACTGGCTGTGGAGCCTGCTTAAGAGTCTCTCCCTCTCCCTTTGCCCCCCCCCCCCGCTTGCTCTCTCTCTCAAAAAAAAAAAAAAGATAAAAAGAAAATAAACAAAACCAATTGAAAATCTGTGCAACAAAAGAAACCTCTATGTAAACTTAACATTCTATACAGAAATAAACATCCTAGATGTAAATTTAAAATATAAAATTATAAAAATTTTAGAGAAAACATCAGAGGAAATTTTCATGACCTTCTGTTAGGCAAAGAATTCTTAGACATGACACCAAATGCATTATTCACAAAAGAATGATCACTTAGACTTTATAAAATTTTTTTTTTAAGATTTTATTTATTTGAGAGAGAGAGAGACAGAGCATGAGTGAGAGGAGAGGGAGAGGGAGAAACAGGCTCCCCTTTGAGCAGAGAGCCTGATGCAGGACTGGATCCCATGACCCTGAGCTCATGACCTGAGCTGAAGGCAGACACTTAGCCGACTGAGCCACCCAGGCGCCCCTAGACTTCATCAAAATTAAACACTTTTGTGAAAGATGTTAAGACAATGAAAAACCAAGCTTCAGGAGCACTTGGCTGGGTCAGTTGGTGGAGCATGTGACTCTTGATCTCGGGGTTGTAGGCTCATGCCCCATGTTGGGTGTTGAGATTACCTAAAAATAAAGTCTTTGAAAGAAAAAAAAGAAAATCCAACCTACAGATTGGGAGAAAATATTTGCAAATCACATATCTGACTATATTCTATATAAATTATTCTCAAAATTCAACAGTTGGAAGCATAAAATCCAGTTAAAAAATGCACAAAAGAGGGCCATAGATGAGAACCCATTGAGGTAATAACATCCTCAGTGCAGAAAACCGGAGCTTTTCCTCTTTGGTCTGGAACAAGACAGGGATGTCCACTCTTTAGCACTGTTACTTAACGTAGTGCTGAAGTCCTAGCCACAGCAGTCAGACAAAAAGAAATGAAAGGCATGGCGCCTGGGTGGCTCAGTCAGTTAAGCCTCTGACTCTTGATCTCAGCTCAGGTCTTGATCTCAGGGTTGTGAGTTGAAGCCCTGTGTTGGGCTCCACACTGGGCATGGAGCCTACTTAAAAAAACAAAACAAAACAAAATGAAACGAAACAAAAGAAATAAAAGGCATCCAAACTGTCAAGGAACAAGTAGAACTTTCACTGTTTGCAGATGACATGACTATACAGAAAACCCTAAGGATTCCACCAAAAAACTGCTGGAACTGATAAACAACTTCAGTAAAGTCGCAGGATACAAAGTCAGTGTACAGAAATCTGTTACATTTCTATTTACCAATAATGAAGCAGCAGAAAGAGAAATTAAGGACTCAATCTCATTTACAATGACACCAAAACCAGCAAGGTACCTAGGAATAAACCTAACCAAAGAAGTGAAAGACCTGTACTCTGAAAACTATAAAACACTGATGAACGAAATTGAAAATGTCACAGAGAAATGGAAAGACATTCCATGGTCATGAATTGGAAGAACAAATACTGTTAAAATGTCTATACTACCCAAAGCAATCTATCAAAATACCAACAGCATTTTTCACAGATCTAGAATAAGCAATCCTAAAATTTATATGGAACCACAAAGGACCCCGAATAGCCAGTGCAACCTTGAAATAGAAAAATAAAGCTGGAGGCATCACAATTCTGGACTTCAAGTTCTATTACAAGGCTGTAGTAATCAAAACAGTATCCAAAAACTAATGATGTAATGTATGGTGATTAATATAACATAATAATAAAGAATGATAAAATTTATTTTAAAAAAGAAAAAAAAACCAATATGGTACTGGCACAAAAAATAGACACATAGATGAATGAAACAGAATAGAAAACCCAGATATGAACCTACAACTATATGGTGAATTAATCTTCGACAAAGCAAGAAAGTATATCCAATGGGAAAAAGAAAGTCTCTTTCACAAATGGTGCCGGGAAAACTGGAGAGCAACATGCAAAAGAATGAAACTGGACCACTTTCCTATACCATACACAAAAATAAATATACAGTGGATGAAAGCCCTAAGTGTGAGACCTGAAACCATGAAAATCCTAGAAGAGAACACAGGCAGCAATTTCTTTGTCATTGGCCATAGCCGCTTCTTTCTAGATATGTCTCTTGAGGCAAGGGAAATAAAAGCAAAAATAAACTGTTGGGACTTCATCAAAATAAAAAGCTTCTGAGCAGTGAAGGAAAGAATCAACAAAACTAAAAGATAACTATGGAATGGGAGAAGATATTTGCAAATAACATATCAGATAAAGGGTTAGTATCCAAAATATATAAAGAACTGATCAAACTTAACACCCCCCAAAATAAGTAAAACTTAACATGCAAAAAAATAATCCAATTAAAAATGGGCAGAAGACATGAATAGACATTTTTCCAAAGAAGACATACAAATGGCCAACGGACACATGAAAAGATACTCTGATCACCTGGGAAATGCAAATCAAAACCACAGTGAGCTATCACCTCACATCTGTCACAATGGCTAAAATCAGCAACAAGAAACAACAAGTGTTGGCAAGAATGTGGAGACGGGGGACCCTCTTGCACTGTTGGTGGGAATCCAAACTGGTGCAGCCACTGTGGAAAGCAGTATGGAGGTTCCTCAAAAAGTTAAAAACAATCTCAGCTCAGGTCTTGATCTCAGGGTCGTGAGTTCAAGCCCTGCACTGGGCTCCTTGCTGGGTGTGGAACCTACTTAAAAAAAAAAAAAAGTTAGAACTACCCTACTACCTAGCAATTGCACTACTAGGTGTTTACCCAAAGGATACAAAAATACTAATTCAAAGGGATACATGAACCTTGCTGTTTATAGCAGCATTATCCACAGTATCCAAATTATGGAAAGAGCCCAAGAGTCCATTGACTGGTGAATGGATAAAGATGTGGTGTGTGTGTGTGTGTGTGTGTGTGTGTGTGTTAAATGGAATATTACTTGGCCATAAAAAAAGAATGAAATCTTGCCATTTGCAGTGACATGGATGGAGCTAGAGAGTATAATGCTAAGTGAAATAAGGCAGAGAAAGACAAGTACCATATGATTTCACTCATACGTGGAAACAAGAAACAAAACAAGCAAAGGGGAAAAAAAGAGGCAAACCAAGTAACAGACTCTTAACTCTAGAGAACAAACTGATGGTGACCAGAGGGGAGGTTGGGGGGGGCATGGGGAATGGGTGAAATATGTAATGGGAATTGAGGAGTGCACTTGTGATGAGCTCCGGATTTGGTATGGAAGTTTTGAGTTACTATATTGAACTCCTGAAACTAATATTACACTGTGTGTTAACTAACTGGAATTTACATAAAAACTTTTAAGAATGCCCAAAAGATTTGAATAGATGTACCGCTAAAGAGAATATACAGATGGTAAATAAGCAAAGGAAAAGATGTGCCACATCATTAGCTTGTAGGGAAATGCAGATCCAAACCGCAAGGAGATACCACTGCCTGCCTAATAAAGAGGCTAAAATGAAGAAATGGTGACAACAGCAAGTGCTGATGAGGGTGTGGAGGAAGCAGGGCTCTCATGGTCGCTGATAGAATGGGGAATGGTACAGCTGTGCTGGCAAAAAAGTTGGCCGCTTTGTTACGAAGTTACATACAGACTTAACATAAGACCCAACACTCCCAATTCTTGGTATGTTTTCTAGAGAAGTAAAGACTTATATTCACCCCAGAACCGATACATGAATGTGTATGCTGCTCTGGTCATACTGGCCCCACCTAGAAACATCTCAAACGTCCTTCAGTGGGTGAGCGAATAAACAGATGGTGACACATACATACCATTGAACACTGCTCAGCAGTAAAAACGAAGGCAACAGGCATCTTACTGAGTGCAAGACTTCTGTCTCACAAGGTTGTGGACTGTAGGATTCCATTTATATGATACTCTCAGAAAGATAAATTCACAGTGATGGAGAACAAAGCAAAGTTTACCAGGGTTTGCGGGGTGGGAGGAGGACCCAGTACCTACAAAGAGGTCGAACGAGGGAGGTTTTTGGTTGTGATGGAATTGTTCTGCATTCTGATCGTGGTGGTGGCAACTCTAGTTAATACATTTGTTAAAATTCGCCGACTGTATGCTCTCCAAAATATCAGTTTTATTGTCTGTCCATGAAAAGACAGCTCATAATAAAAAGAACACATTAGGATCAGCACACAGTTAAGATAGTGTATTTATCGATGTTGGTGACTGTTACTCACGTACAGTTATTGCTCTGTAGCCTCACATTGTGTAGATGCAGCCAATGGGCATTCCGGTCTGTATCCAGGTTCTCTCTTCCAGGAACAGCGCTGCTCTAGGCATTTTGTACACGAGTCTTCAGGCACACGTGCAAGGGGAGATTCCCCAGAATATCGATGTAGGAGTGGATTTGTTGGGTCGTACAGTTGCATGTGCCAACTTTTCAAAAGAAAAATTTCTTTGTAAAGCAGTTTACACTCTCTTCGCAGTCAATGAGGTTTCCCAGTTGTATACATTCTTGGCCACACTTGAATTTGTCTGACTTCTAAAGTTTTCTCATTGGGGTGGGTTTGAACTGAGATCTCATTGTGGTTGAACATAGTTTATGTTTAGAGGCCATTTGTTTCCCTTAGAAATTTCTGGGTGCGTTTTTGTTGTTGTTGTTGCTCACCTTCCTATTTTTTTGTGAGTTTTTTTATTGATTCTTAAGAGTTCCTTATATATTTTAGAAACAAATCCTTTGAGTTATACGTGTTGCAAGTATCTTCTAGTTTGTGGCTTATTTTAGTTTCTCTTTTTTTTTTTTTTTAAAGATTTATTTATTTGAGAGAGCAAGAATGAGAGAGAGAGAGAGAGTACATGACGGGGGGAGGGTTAGAGGGAGAAGCAGGCTCCTTGCTGAGCAGGGAGCCCGATGCAGGACTCGATCCAGGGACTCCAGGATCATGACCTGAGCCGAAGGCAGTCGCTTAACCAACTGAGCTACCCAGGAGCCCCTATTTTAGTCTCTTTATGGCGTTTCTAATATAGTCAGATCCATCCATCTTCTCCTTCATGATTGTGCCTTTGTTTCTTGTTCAAGAAACCTGTATCTTGTATCCTGAAGTCATAAAGTATTCTACTGTATCATCTTTGCAAAGCATTAGGGGTTTGCCTTTCGCATATGGGTCTTCAAATCCCTAGGACTTGGTTTTTGAGTATGGGGTGTGGGGTGAGGCCAGTTTCACTTTTCCCCCTATGGGTCAACCTGTCACCACAGCATCTGCATCCAGACATCTCACTTTTCCCACTGAGGAACCTTGATACCTCTTGCCTGTCAGCTTCCATACATCGTGTCGGTCTGTGTGTCGGTCTAGTTTTGTGCAGCTGTCCAGTTCCTTTCGGCTGTTTATTCAGTTCTTTTGCCATTACCACACTGTCTTAAATACAGTTTAATAACAAATTTCCGTATTTGGTAGGAAAGATCTCCTCGATTATTTACATGAAGACAGTGATTACATTGCAAATAAGGACACTTTTGTTCTTCCTTGCTTTATCCTTAATCCTTTTTTCCCTTTTTCCTGCCTTACAGTACCAGCTAGGACTTGCAATACACTGTTGAATTGAAGTAGTAATAATGGGCATCTTTGTTTTGCTCTAAATCCTACAGGAAATGCTTTCAATGTAAACAGCTATTTTGGAGACACCTTTATCAGGTTTAGGAAGTTCCCTTCTATTCCTAGCAGGCTAAGAATGTTTTTGTGTGTTTTTTTTTTTTTTTTAAATGATGTTGAGTTTTATCAAAAGGTTTTCTGTTCTTTTTGAGATAATCAAGTGATTTTTTTTTCTGTGAATGGCACAAATTTCATTAAATGCCTTAGTTGATACTTTAATGTTAAGCCAACCTTGCATTCCTGGGATAAAACCCAAGGTTATGAATTATTACTCAGTTTAGTTTGCTAATACATTTTTTTTTCAAATTTAAAATGCTGTTATGTGGGCGCCTGGGTGGCTCAGTTGGTTGGGCGACTGCTTTCGGCTCAGGTCATGATCCTGGAGTCCCTGGATCGAGTCCCACATCGGGCTCCCTGCTCGGCGGGGAGCCTGCTTCTCCCTCTGACCCTCCCCCCTCTCATGTGCTCTCTCTCTCTCATTCTCTCTGTCTCAAAAAAAAAAAAAAAAAAAAAATCTTTAAAATGCTGTTATGTAAGATGCATTCCTATTTCAGGGATGTTATACATATATATTTTTAATGGCTAATGATGATCATAGATTGTAAAATGTATTGTGGTTTCAGAGATGTATATTTGAAAAGTTATATCTTAATGTCAATTTAATGTTCTATTGTTTTGTGTTTTATATTTGTGTTCGTAAGTGAACTTGACCTACAATTGTCCTTTCTCATTCTTTTCTTGTCAAAGTTAGGTATTAAGGCTGTGCCCCATGATAAAATGAATTGAGTAATGTGCTTACTTTTTCTATCTTGAATAGTTGATGTAATAATGTCTTTATTTTATTCCTGACTTCTTGGTTGAACAAGCCTACAAAGTCATAAAGTTGTAGCATTTTAACTCCTGATATAGTTTCTTTAATGCTTATGAAACGATTCAGGTTTTCTATTTTTTTTTTTATTTTGAAGTTTATTTATTGAAGTAATGTCTACACGTAATATGGGCTTGAACTCATGACCCTGAGATAAAGAGTCACATGCTCTTCTGACTGAGCCAGCCAGCCGCCCCTCTGTTTATTTTTGATTCAGTTCTTTTGAGTTTGCTTTTTAGGAATTTGTTCATTTCATCCGTATGTCCAAATTCATTAGCATAAATTATTCACGATAAATTCATAGTATGTGTTTGTTTCATCTATGTGGCATCCATAGTTGTGTCCTCTTCATTTGCGCTTTTGTCTGTTTGTATTTCATTCTTTTTTTTCTTTATCTTTCTCTCTTAAAGATTAGTCAGTTTCATTATTCTTCACAAAGAAATGAGTTTTGATCCCAGCATTGTTCATTCTCTTTATCACTTGCTCCCTATTGCTTTCGAATTATTTCCATACTTCTACTTTCGGTTGATTTTACTGACTTTTTAATATTTCTTAAAAGGGATGTTTAGCATATTAAATTTTGGTCTTTTCCCCTTAAAAATTGCACTTGCTAGATAATAAACCTAACTACATGGTGCTTTACTTGAATCTTGTATATTTTTACATGCAGGGTTTTCTTTATTATTGTCTTACGAATTTTGTAATTTTTAGCTGTTTTTTTCTTTTACCCATAACCATTTAGAAGTATCATTCTGAATTTTCGAACAACTAAGATTTGTTATTGATTTTGATTTCTGATATAATTGAATTGGGGTCAGAGAATGTGGACATAGAGTGCCAGTCTTTTGACTTTGTTGAAACTCGGTTTATGGCTTCTTATATTATCATTTTTGGTGAACATTACAGGTAAGCTTGGAAATAATGTGTATCCTGCAGTTTTCGCAGCGATTCTCTCACACACAAGGTTTGAGATCACTGCTTCAGAGGGACCGTGTTCAAGTGCTGCCAAAGGAGAAAGACAAAGGCCGATTTGCTTTAACTGTTATTAGTGGGACGATACTGAGTCACATGGGGTCATTAATATGAACTATTAACTTAGAACTTTTCAATGCTTTCAACAATATATTGAGATGACCACTATTTTTAGTGTGCCTATAAAAACATTCTTCTTTAATAGGCAGAATTACAGTTTTACTATTAGATAAAATGACTGAGGAGCCCTTATAGGAAAAGCACTGGAAAGAAAAAATAAATTGCTTTCTTGATTTGTGTCCACTTTTATTTTTTTTTGTTTTGTTTTGTTTTTTACTAATGTTATAGTATGACCTTGGTAATAAAAGCAACAAGCTTTACAGTTTTCATTGTAGACCAGTGATGGAATTAAGAGCCTAGCTCCCAGAGTCAGACTGCCTGACTTCCAGTCTTGTCCTCCTCTACTCAGTAGCTGTGACCTTTCTGTGCCTCAGTCTCCTGAACTGAGGATGCTGGTTGTACCCCCTGTAAAGTGTTATTTGGGGAGTAAACCTTATTAATTGTGCTCCTAATAGTAGTTGATACAATATAACATTTTCTCTACTACACACTGCTCTCAGCCTTTACCATAACGTAATTACATCCTCACAACAACCCTATGAGGGTTTTTCAGTTTAGGGAGCCTTAGAGAAAGGCATCGGGATAGCAGTGAAACCTTTCCACAGCTGCTGACTTCTGTTCCTGAAGTCGGGAAATCCTAACCCCGAGAGCTCTGTGAGGATGACAGAGGTTTGCGGGGAACTAAATGGGGAGCGTTTAACAGAGGAAGAGGAGTGGGTTTCTGAGGGACTTCAAGGCCGTTAAAGATCATTTGAGGGATGCCTGGGTGGCTCAGTCAGTTAAGCGACTGCCTTCAGCTCAGGTCATGATCTCAGGGTCCTGGGATTGAGCCCCGCATTGGGCTCCCTGCTCAGCAGGGAGTCTCCTTCTCCCTCTGCTGCTCCCCCTGCTTGTGCGTGCTCTCTCATGCTCTCTCTCTCTCTCACAAATAAATAATATCTTAAAAGAGGAAGGATCATTTGATTTCCATCCTTTACATATTAGTCAGCTTGGACTGCTGTAACAAAATATCATAGACTAGGTGGCTTAAATAATAGACATTTATTTTCTCACAGTTCTGGAGGCTGGGAGTCCAAGATCAAGGTGATGGCCAATTCGGTTTCTGGTGAGGGCTCTCTTCCTGGCTGCAGATGGCCACTTTCTCATGGTGTCCTCACACGGCCTTTCTCTCTGAGTGCTCACAGAGAGAGATTTCTCCCTCTTTCTTCTGAGACCACAAGCCGTATCAGATTAGGGCCTCATCCTTATGATCTCATTTAACCTTAACTACTAAAGATTCCCCTCTCCAAATATAGACGCATTGAGGGGTAGGACTTTCACATATGAGTTTTGGGGGAACACAATTTACTCTGTAGCATCGCACCACCACCCCAAGGAACATATAATATAGCATCTTCTAAGACTAAATATGTTTCTACTGCCTTCTAGTAAGTGTCAGGTTGTTGTTGTTGTTTTTGAAGTTATCACCAGAGTGATTAGGTTCATATTTATATCACCAAGAGGCTTATTCCAGAGTATTTGGCATTTCTGTAGGCAGAGAGGTGGTATTATTTTGCTAAAATAAGGCAGACTGTGCCCTCAGAGTATGTCTTTCTGTGTACTGGGAGATATGTGCAGTTAGGCAGATGTACAAATCTGATATCTTCATGTCTCATATTCTACATTTTTGAATAAATAGATATAGTCTAGTAGTCATTCATTTAACAAATGTGTAATTATCCTGCTGTAGGCCAGGTACTGTAGCTAGGTTTTGATAATATAGCAAAAAGTGTAATAGAACAAGGTCCTGCCTTTACTTTACGGAATATATATTATAGTAGGGGGGACACGTGCTTAAGAAGTAAATAAAGAAGTAACTTAACAAATGTCTGTGTACTGTGAAGGAAACATACAGAAAGGTGAAGTGACTGAGATTAGCAGTCTTGGAGAAAATTTGAGAAAAGTGATAGGAAAGAAAGAATGTGAGCCAAGGAACGATCTCAGAGACAAACGTTTGGACAAAGGGGCTGAAATACAAAATACAAAGGCCCACTAGTTAGAATATTCTTGGCAAGTAGTGTAAGGGTGATACCCACGGGTTCTGGGTCCCACTGCCTGGAAATGCTCAATAAATGTTAAATATTGCTGTTTCTGTAGTCATTATGGTCCAGATATAACTGCAATAAACGAAACTTTTTTTTTTTTGCCCAAATGTAGTCTTGTTGGAAGCTAAATTGTTACAGGGATCAGCTTGCCTCCCATCTCTTCTCTGAAAATCAAGGTAACTTATTTTTTCCGAGTCACTCCTTAGTTTATGCACACTAATAGAGTAATCCTGTGTTTCTTTAAGCTTTCCACCAAAGTATTCTTTACTGCAAAGGAGATTGAACACAAAGGGTGTGTGTGCATGGGTGTGTGTGTGTGTGTGTGTGTGTTCTGACCTTTCAATAAAGGAAACATTTTTTTGTAATCTCTTGTTTTCTTCTAAAGATTCATGCCAGTTTTATGTTCGTCTAAATATATTTGTACCTATTTTAATATTTAAATAATGTCTTAAATGTCATGTCTGTTTTGTGGCTTTGAATACCCTTGCCCCCAGGTACATTGCCTGGCCTGCACCAGTATGAAAGGCCCTGGAATAGAGCCATGTGGTGTATATTCTGGCTTAGGTTCAGCAGGAGGCTAATGTTACCCGAGGGTATTAGGGTGTGGGCTGGGTGGTTTTACTGCTCGGTATCCTGTAAAGCGAAACACAAGAATGTTCAACTTCCTTCCATAAATTATATATAAAGTAGAAACCAAGAAAATGCAGGGTTTTTGTTTTTGTTTTTGTTTTCCCCAGAATGAGCAGTAGAAAGCAAAGCATAAGAAAGTCCAATCTGCTGTCAAGAATGAACTGTGAAGGTCATCCTGTCACTATCAGAATTGAATCACCAGGTAGAAGGTGTATCAAGAGACCTTTTCCCCAAATCACTTTTATTTGATTTTGGAATTCATAATGTGACACTCACTTTGACAGGCAAATTTTCTTTTGAAATTATGTTTTATTGAATTAATATTAAAATTAACTGGGCCGCTCTTGAATATTGATTAATAGTGGGTGTAGGTGACTCAGGCATGGGGCAGGTGCTGCTATACCCTTCCCGTGCATCCTGGACCTGGCTCTCTGCTGCCCAGAATCCTTCTCAACACCACGCTTCAGGAAGTCATTACTAATTAATTAGAGTTGCCCTAGAGATGAAACTCATTTGCTAACTCTGTTAAGTGTGCATGAACTTCTTTGGACAATTGGGAACCAGCCATACGATAGTGGACTCTGGTTATCATTCTTTTAGTTGTATATACTTTTAATAATATAAAACCATTTTTAGGCAAGAATTAGGTTCTAGTGCTAGAATACTAAATGAAATATATTGAAAGTTTTCAATAAAATTGAAAACGGTACATATTTTGAGTTAAGTCATGATTTTGAATGGGGTAGATGTTCTTAGCATGAACTCTTTTTTTTTTTTTTAAAGATTTATTTATTTTAGAGAGCGAGCGAGGAGGGAGAGGGGCAGAGAGAGAAAGAATCCTGAAGCGGATCCCCCCCGCCTCCCTTCACTGAGCACAGAGCACAATATTGGGCTTAATCCCAAGACCCTGAGATCGTGACCTGCGCCCAAACCAAGAGTTGGATGCTTAACACATTGAGCCACCCAGGTGCCCCAGCATGAACTCTTTCTTAACACGAAGGCTGAACTACTAGTGAATATGAAATTAAGATACCAGATGCAGAGACATAAAGAAGGAGATCCTAATAAACTGTTCTCAAGCATCTTCTCCAGGTACCTGTATTTCAGAAGCCTGAGTAAATGGGAATGGTGATGGGCACATCATCAGAAATTCTGAATAGTTTGTTTCCCTAGTTTCAGTTATGTAATAAGTGAAAGTAACAAAGTTAAGTTTCTGTAGGTTTCTATTAAATAGTTAGTCAATTCATTTACTCCTTTAGGTTTTAGGTATTTCATTAGTCTGAATCAGGGACCTTTTCCCCTGATGTGTGTGTTGTGTGTATTGAAGGGGTTGCAGAGATAATAATGTGAGGTATCAGTCTGAGGAGACGTGACCATTTTGACTTGAATAGGTAATAATTGTTTCCTGTGAAACTTTTGTATTTCATTTAGTCTCCTGTTTTCGCATTTCATTTGCAAATTGGAAAAAATTTATAAATTTTGGGAGGACTTTATTAGGAGATTAGTATTGAAATGCTCTTGGGCCAAGAAAACTGCCTGGCATTAATTTCATAATTTCGGAGCATTGCTAAATCATTCTTTGAAGGTTAAAATTAATATTTGAAAGTAATAATTAAGGCCGTGGCTGCCAGGACTAATTGAAATTTTTGTAGACAGAAAATGTATGATCCCAAATGTCATTACTTATTCATGATATGTCTTACTAATAAGAGATTATTCTGGCTTCAGTTGTTCTCATACTGTTTATAACAGGACAAGATTTGTTTAATGATGTTCATTGTACATGAAGTGCTATTCATTGTATATACATACTGCATTGTAATTAGAAGATAATTACAGACAAACATTATTATTTTTGAATTGGAAAAAGTATCACCTCACTAACATCTGGGGCATTCTTAAAGCCACTGTGCTTTTCTTGTATATCTAAGTACTGGTTAGATTTGGTTTATTTAGCTGATGAAATCAGACCAAAAAAATCCCAACCCAAGGAAGTATGGCCATAGGCAGGATAGTGTGCTCATAGAATTTTTTGTCTTCTTTAGAGTTTGGACTCCTTCAATGGAGAGAAGGTTTAATGAATTTAGCCCCATAGTTGAGAAGCAGAACTCTGGTAGTTGAGTATGGTTCTAATCCTGGTGCTGCTAACTAGGATTACTAACTATCCCTGTGGCAGGTTTCTCTGCCTGTACCCTCATAGGCTTGTTTCAGGGATTAAATGTGTGTTGTTAATAAAACATTTAGGATCACCATTGCCTCATAGTCCATGAATATAAATGACTTTTAAATAAATAAAAAAAATTCTAGGCAATATTTATTTATTTATCTTTATTTTTTTAGGATTGATTATTTGGGAGAGAAAGAGAGAGCAAGCATGGTGGGGAGGAGCAGAGAGAGAGGGGGAGAGAAACTCAAGCAGACTCTGCACTGAGTGCGGAGCCCTACTTGGGGCAATTGCACGACCCTGAGATCACGAGCTGAACTGAAACCAAGAATCGGAGGCTCAACTGAGCCACCCAGGTGCCCCCAGCTATATTTATTTTTAAGCTTTTTTGAAAATACACCTGGCAAACATTTTTTCTTTCATTGTTGTTGAATAGATGATAGATCAGCAATATTAAAGAAAAATTTAAAAGTAATTATCCATATAAAGAAGATGTGCTATATATCCGATGGAGTATTACTCAGCTGTCAAAAAAATGAAATCTTGCCATTTGCAATGACGTGGATGGAACTAGAAGATATATGCGAAGCAAAATAAGTCAGTCAGAGAAAGACAGTTGTTACATGATTTCATTCATATGTGGAATTTAAGAAACAAAACAGAGGAGCATAGGGGAAGGGAGGGAAAAATAAAACAAGACAGAATTCAGAGAGGGAGACAAACCATAAGAGACTCTTAATCAGCCTGAGTGGCTCAGTCGGTTAAGCGTCTGCCTTTGGCTCAGGTCATGATCCCAGGGTCCTGGGATCAAGTCCCACATTGGGCTCCTTGCTTAGCGGAGAACCTGCTTCTCCCTTGGGCTGCTGCTCCCCCTGGTTGTGCTCTCTCTCTCTCTGACAAATAAATAAAATCTTCAAAAAAAAAAAAAGAGAGAGCCTCAATCATAGAAAACAAACTGAGGGTTGCTGGAGGGGAGGGGAGTGAGAGGATGGGGTAACTGGGTGATGGGCATTAAGGAGGACACGTGATGTAATGAGCACAGGGTGTTATACAAGGCTGATGAATCACTGACCTCTACCTCTGAAACTAATAATACACTATATGTTAATTAATTGAATTTAAATAAATTTTAAAAAATCAGTAAAAAATAATTATCTGTATAACCAATTTTTAAAAATAATGTTTGCATATTATTTTCTAATTATTATTTATTTGTATGCATATTTTATATTATTGAAATTGTAATATATATAATAATCAGTGTAGGCAACTGAATTTGATTGGCCCATCCTGGTCACGTGCTTGCTCGGGAGTGGGTTGGGCATAGCGGTTGCAAACGTAGCCACAAGGGAGGGGGCGTGGGGTGCTAAGCAGCCGAAGAAACAGAAGTGCACTGTCACGAACAGTGGTCTTTCTTGTCCAGAAGTGTATGTTTACTAAACAGGTAGAGTTGTGGTGGCAGGATTCCATCTCCTTCAGGGATTTGAGCGGAGATAACGATGTGTCAGCAAGAGCGGTGGGCTGAAGGGCCAAGGGAAAGGCAGTCTTGTCCACTGGTCTGAGCTGAACGACCTTGGACAAGCTTGATGTTCTTTTTTCCACCCCTAAATTTATCCTGCTTTAAGCTATAGAACTGCTTTTTGATATTTTTGTTTTGACATAATGCTTGTTTAAGATGGGATGTCAGGATATTGTGAGTTTTGCTGTTCTCCCCCCCCATCCCATATAGTTGTTAACAGTGTGAACAGAACAAGTAAGAAGTATGTTTCTCAAACTTGCCCTGTAGCAGTTTGCTTAAAGAAATGATCTCTACAAGGAAGGAATGCATGTGTCCAATTTTTTAAAAAGTGAAAAAATGATTAACTTTTTTAGCAATCAAAAACACATGAGGGGGCACCTGGGTGGCTCAGTCGTTAAGCGTCTGCCTTGGGCTCGGGTCATGATCCCACGGTCCTGGGATCGAGCCCCGCATCGGGCTCCCTGCTTGGCGGGAAGCCTGCTTCTCCCTCTCCCACTCCTCCTGCTTGTGTTCCCTCTCTTGCTGTGTCTCTCTCTGTCAAATAAATAAAAATCTTAAAAAAAAAAAAACATAGCTTCCTGGGCTTGTCCCAGAGATTCTGATTTGTTAAGTTGAGCTGGGGCTCACACCATGAATTTGCACTTCCAGCAGGCTCCCCGTTAATATCAGCGCTGCTGGTCCTCAGACCACACTGGAAGAACCACTATTCTCCATCTACTGGGTATCACAGGCAAGCTTTTCTTATCCCTCCAATCTCAGTGTTTCTGAAGAGAAGAGAAAGAAAAAGCAACTTTTGAGTTCTTATTCTGTCCCAGATGCTTAGTTATATGTATAGCGTCACTTCATTTTCACAAACATAAAGTTGTATAATCTCTATTTTCTGTGAGGCTGTGGAGGCTCAGAGAGACCAAGTAATTTGCCCAGAGCCGCACAGCTTGTCTGTGTTATGACTGGTTTCCTGAGTTAATGCCAAAGCCTATTGTAACTCATATTATTTTCCTTAAAGTAACTGCAAAGCAGGATAGAATTTGGGGCAGTGGAGGGAGCCTTCACATCTGTGATAAGGAACACTCAGATTACTCTGATGTTAGAGATTCTCCATTCACCAAGACCTAAAATATGGCATTGTACCAAGTGGATTTCAGAGATTTGTAATTGGTAAAATCTCCTCAACTTTTTGCTTAAACATGTAAAAGGATGATATTAAAAAATAATGAAATTTTAAAAGTTTAGGGTCAGGCTGGAAATGGTACAGAAATTTCTGGCATGCTTTGCTTAGGATTTCAGTTAAATCTTATTCTGAGAGATTTGGGGCAATGTTAAAACAAAGCGTTGTCCAAGTTATTTCTTTTAAGTTCTGTTTTCTGAAACTTTGTAAAGACGAACATAAAAGCATATCAAGGCAAGTATAAGAACAATAAGGTGAAGCATATTTTTTTCAGTGGTGAAATATGTATTTGCACATGCTAATGAGTTTCATTGTTCAATATGAATGGGAACAGCCTTTATAAAATGAATATTTAGAATGATTGTACTGACTAATCCTTTTGTTTTGAGTAGTTCAAAAAACTAAAAGTAGGTTATAAGAAATTTTAGAACTCTGTGAAATTATAGCTCTGCAGTTAGTTGATCTTACTGAAACCGCCCGTAAACTCCGTTTCCCTGGCAGAGTACAAAAAATACGTGGAGTGGGTGAGACTGTGGCTGTCCACAGTGCTTGAGGTGTTCACATTGCCCCCGTTGGGTAAAAATACCTGTCCGGGCAAAACTGTGTGTTGCTGTTGTTGTTTTAATATAAAGTTCTACTGAAGAATATTGTTACAGACAGACAAACCTACAGCAAGGATTCATTTGGGATAAAGGCCGGAGAAAAGGACTATGTTACTGACGTTCTAAGCACCTCAGTACATACTTAGTCTGCCTAGTGGCTAATCTGGAATTAACTTTAGAATCTCACTCTTCAGGGCACCTGGTGGGTGGCTCAATAGGTTAAGCGTCTATGCCTTCGGCTCAGGTCATGATCCCGGGGTCCTCGGATCGAGCCCCGCATCGGGCTCCCTGATCTGCAGGGAGTCTGCTTCTCCCTCTCCCTCTGCCCCTCCTCCTGCTCATGCTGTCTCTCTCAAATAAATAAATGAAATCTTAAAAAAAAAAAAAAAAAAGAACCTCACTGTTCTGTTTTTAAACATTTTTTTGTTAAAAAAGTACACACACACACCCCACATAAAACAAACATATTCTTAATGAATTGTTGTAAAGAGAGTACCCTTCTAACACCACCCAGGACACTAGAACTTTGCCAGCCACCCCAGAAACCTTCCATAGCCCTTTTCCATAAAATCCGTTATCGTGATGAAGCTACAAACACCATGGACTGATTCTTTTTTGAAAAAATGCCCTCTTAGTATTTTTTAATCCGCAGCTTTTCTCCTCTTCCTTTCTTTTCTGATAGCATCCTCATTGTACAATTCCATATTTCTTGTGAATTGGTAGAGATTTGTTCAAATTCAGGATATATATGTGTGTGTGTATATATATATTTATGCCCCCCCATACATACATATGGATATTTTGGTGGTGGAAAGCATACAGCATTTGAGATGTTTCTCAGTGAGATTGAGAAAGGGATCAGTATTTGAGCCATTGATATTCAGTGTCTAGATCTGTGAATTGGGTGTTGTAAAAAATGATGCTCTCATTCAGTCATTCTCATGTATTTGTTAGCCGGACTGTTTCTATAAAGAAGAATTTCCCTTCCCCTACTCCTTGGTTATGTAGTAGTACAGAGATCATGGCTGGCTTCTGGGGTGCTGGGACGTATTATTAGTGGTAGGATTCTCTGGGCCATCTGGCGAGAGCCGTTTGATAGACACATGTTTTGGTTCTTGGGTTGGACAAGGAGCCAGTGGTCCTGGCCTGCAAGTTGTTAGTTACTGGTGAACCCTTTTTTCAGAAGACTGGACTCTTTTCTTTAAGCTACCATGTGGGTGTGTGTTTGTTTTATCTATTCCTGTTTGTTGGCAGATCTAAAGCCTTATTTTGCTGTATGAAACCATTCAATATCATTTGGTCCTATCTCTTGCCTCCAGCGGGTTAGGTGCAGAGATCTCCCATCTTACACAGAGTTTAAAGTCATCACAGAGGCCAAAGTTGTCAATTAAAAAAAAAAAAAGATTTTTAAAACAATAATCTCAAAAATTAAATCTTTAAGTAAATATTTGTGTATAAGCCATCCATATAAACTGGAATCTAGAATCAGGATGTATTAATGCCGTTACTTTCCGCAACGTTTCACAAAGGACAATGGGGATGGAGACACATTGTTTCTCTCTCTTGGACTCTGGAAAGTATCAGTATAGTTTAGACTTACTGATATACAGAGATGAAAGTTATCTGTTCTTGTTTCTCTTCTAAGAAAGAAAAGGATTTAACATTTATTTCCTTTAGGTCTGCTGTTTTGTGTATATTATATATTTTTTATCTTCAAAATAACTTTAGACTGTTGGTGTTATTTACAAAGCTCAGAGAGGTTAAGTACCTTGCCCGAGGTCACAGGGATGGAGAATGGACTGGCTGGGATCCAAGCCCTGCTTCAAGGCCTGGGTGGAGCCCTCTGTGCTTCACACCTCTCAGGAAAAGGAATATGAAGACTGAGTAGATACCAGATACTTTTTCATGGTAACCCAGCTAAAATGTTCTGTTTCTGTGTGTTTATTTCCTTCTGGTTTTAAGAGACACTGTAATTCTATTTATAACTAAGATAATTAAACATTTAAAATGTGTGTGCCTACTTAAAAATGATTATTGTTATTAAAGGAAAATATCCATCCTATATTAATGTTATTTTGATGAAACTTATAATTGAAAAGTCAGTTTTTAGGAATTATTATTGCCCTACAAGTAATCATGATTAATGGGCACGCTATGTTAATGGCGACTTATGGTAGCTTTTAAACGCAAAATAATAAATTTTAAAAATCCAAATCATCATTTAATACTGTTTAAATTAGACGGCATTGTAAGTATTAACCATAAAGTATGCAATTAAAATATTACACTTGGTGGTTAATTCTTAGACCGCATTCATTTGATCTTTTTTTGCTGCATTTATATTTGTGTAACAGTTGAAAGCCTGGGCTTTGGAGATCGTCTGTTTGAATCTGGCTCTGTCCCTCCCTGACTGTGTGATTTGGAGCTAGCTACCTAACCTCTCTTGGGCCTCAGGTTCTTCCTCTGTGAAGTGATAGGAGGACCTAACTCAAAGGTTTGTCAGTGATGATTCTGCGATTAGAAACCTGCTCAAAATGTGTTAACTGTGACTGTGATTACCTTGAATTGGGAAGACTGGCTCACGTGCCATTCCTGAAGATTTTGGTCCCCAGGGAATATCTTTTTTTTTTTTTTTTATGAAACAATTTACATGGTCAGCTGCTTTTGCTACATTCTCACCATCCTGGCTAAATACTCATTCTTTTTTTTTCTATAAGATTTTATTCATTTATTTGAGAGAGAATGAGATAGAGAGAGCATGAGAGGGGGGAGGGTCAGAGGGAGAAGCAGACTCCCCGCCGAGCAGGGAGCCCGACGCGGGACTCGATCCCGGGACTCCAGGATCATGACCTGAGCCGAAGGCAGTTGCTTAACCAACTGAGCCACCCAGGCGCCCTAAATACTCATTCTTATAAACATATATTGAGCCTGTGAATTGGGCTGGGAGCTGCTGATACAATGATAACGCAGTGGGCTGGCAAAGAGCTCAGTCCACTGGGGGGAGAGAATGAATGATTTTCACATGTGGAAACATGTTACAGGGAGTAAAGGGAGTAGTTCTCTCAGTTTAGGATGAATTTTATCCTTGGAGACGCTTGGAGGGTTGTAGATGTCATCTTTTCAACTACTTTTTCTCTCTTTTTATTTTAGAGGAAAATAAAAGAGGAAACACAGTTTTTAATTTTTCTCATTTGAGCTGGGCTCTTGGTTTTGTGGAACTGGACTGCAATGACAAGAATTTCTTTTTTAGGGGCGCCTGGGTGGCTCAGTCACTTAAGCATCCAACTCTTGATCTCAGCTCAGGTCTTGATCTCAGGGTTGTGAGTTCAAGTCCCGTGTGGGGCTCCATGCTGGGTGTGTAGCCTACTTTAAATAAATAAATAAATAAATTGAAGAAGTTCTTTCTTTTTTTAAAAAAATTAACTTTTAAAATTTAGACGTGATTGACCTGTATCATGATGTTAGTTTCAGGCGTACAACGTAATGATTCAGTATTTGTGTGTATTCAATATGTGTGTGTATTGCGAAATGATCACCGTAAGAGGTCTAGTTAACATCCATTACCGTGCAGCTGCCCCTAGAGAATATCTTGAAATGTTCTTGAAGCCCTTGTCCTGAATGAAGAGGAAAGAGAGGTCACGTACAACCTTTGAGGTTTCCCCAGTGCTGGATTTCTGGACTCACCAGCAGGATCTCCATTTCTGTAACAAATGGATACATCTTCAGTAGGGATGCACCCTTTGTTACTGCTGTACTCTGAACATGTAGCAATGTTTCATTAATTTCGATTTATCTAATGAAACAATTCTTTATCATTTGAACTGGATGAGATGGAGTTCACCCTTCTGTCTGCTTGCTGACTCACCATCAGTCCCTCCCCGGCTGGGATATATTATGCTGCCAGGGGCACCGTGCCCCCTTGTGCTGCCTTCCCTACACTCTGGCCCCTTCTCTCAGACCATAAACACCAGTTCTCCCTGGGCCATTTTTGGGTTTTATGCTTCTTTGAGGACTGTCATCCCTTCGATACCTCTATGCTCTCACAGCTGCTCTAGCCCATTGTACTATAGAATCAGCATGTGCCAAAGGTACTTGCAAAGCTGGAGCAGTTAAAGAATGAAATATGGGGGAATGGTGGGCAGGAATTAGGTAATTAAAAAAGTCAGAACTCTGTAGGACTTCTTTATTCTTTCTCCCTCCCTTCATGGAGTTCCTCTGGGAGTCCCTCCCAGATGGGCTTTGAGGATCATCTGGGCGAATGTTAGGGGTCAGCAAAGACACGGTGGCTCGTCTTGGCTGAAGGGAGATTGGAGAACAAGCCTGGAGAAGAAGCTGAAGACTAGACAGTAGGAGACCCTGGATAGTTGGGGTAAGATATTTGAACCTGATTGTTTATCAATGTCTTTTGATTGATTGACTTCCATGCCAGTGATGGCATGGAAGGTGTATTTTAGAATGCAGAATCTGGGGATGAGTGTAGCTAGAGAGATTGAAAGGCAGAGTGATTGGCAGGAGGGAGACTAGTTGAGATAATATAATGAGCGAGGGATGATACGGGCGCCTGGGTCTCGTGTCGGTATTGGAATGGAGTTATGTAAGAGTTACGCCATTATGCTTTCTTCTGTCGGCAGCCTGTTGGATCATGTGCACTTGCAAGTGATAACATGTACTTTCAAAAAATGTCATATAATACAAACTTTTTGCTTGGTTCTTCTCTGTATGAGTGCTTGCTGCTAATACAGAACCTACTTACAGGCATTGTCGTAAGAACACCCAAGGAGAGGCTGAAGTGATTTATCCTTCTGCCGCCTGGCAAGGTTGGTGATTTAAATCAGAACTTTCCAACCTGTATTGTGGAGCCTGATTACTTTACAAGGTTGTTTATTTATTTATTTTTTTTAATTTCTGAATTCAGATTTTAAGAGGATGTGCTAGTATTATTTGTGAATTTCCAATTCTCCTTTGTTCTTTGTTCTTTAATTATACTCCTGTCTACACTGCCATGGCCTTTTTGTTCCCAGTGGATGAATTAAGGACTTGGCCAGAAAGTACACATTGGAAGGCTGGGCAAAATTTATCTTTTTCTCTAACTTCTTATTTTGAAATCATTTCATACTCACTGAATAGTTGCAAAAAGAGTACAAAGAATCCCGGTGCGCCCTTCACCGAGATTCTTCAAATGTTAACATTTTACCATGTTCGCTTTATCATTCCTTTCCTCCTTCCCTTTTCCTCCCTGCCCTACTCACTCCCTTAGACATACTAAGTTTTGTTCTGAACCATTTGAGACTAAGTTGCAGACATGATACCCTCCACCCTCAACACTTCAGTTGGCACTTCCTAAAAACAAGGGCATTCTCCTACATAGTCACAGCACAATGATCTGTTTCATGTACTTTATTCAAATTGTGCTGAATTGCCCCACTTACACTGTCCTTTATAGGACATCTACCCCTCCGAGTCCACTCTACAGTTCAGGCTCACCTGTTCCATTTAGTTGTAATGTCTCTTTAATTCTCCCTTAATCCGGAATAGTTTCTCAGTATTTGTCTTTCCTGAATTTAACATTTTCGAAGAGTACAGGTCATTTGTTTGGTATGATGAATGTCCCTCAATTTGTGCTTGTCTGATAATTAATCATGATTAGATTCAGAGTATGCGTTTTTGCTACAAATATCCCAGAAGTGATTTTGTGTCCTTCTCCAGTTCATCATGTCAGAGGGTACGTGCTGTCTGTCCGTCCGGTTGCCGGTGAGGTTAACTTCGGGCTCTCCTGTGAGGGGTGTCTGCCAGGGTTCTGACAGTGTCGTCCAGTGCGGTTGCTTTAGATGGCTGGAGGGAGACGGGGAGGATTTATGTGTCCCCCCAGTGGTGGAAAAGTTATTTTCTCTGGCAGGTTTCTAAATTTCCCTCTCTCCCTTTTTTTAAAAGTTACCATGCACTTCCCAAAGAGTAACTCTTTTTTACCTTATTTTCCGCCAAATAGTTGCCTCGTGGTGTCTGGGATGTACTTTTAAGTTCACCTCTTTCTTGCGGTTGTCTCTCTAACCCCTCAGTTTAGGGTGGACTTTCTCTCAGAGGCAGTGACGTTAGCTCAGTCTTGAAGACCCCAGCCACCACTCCCTTCTTCCTTCCGCTCCATTCTTTCTGGAATCTCCTTTTTCCTCTGACCACTTACAGCAGGGACATGAGGGATACAGTCAGTTCTGCTATAATTCGACATATGCATTCCTAAAAAATCATGCTGTGCCAAATCGCACAATAAAAACCACAGGGCTTGTGGGGAAAATGGGTTTGGGGGCATGTGTTTCTTTGCTAGGGCTGCCGTTACGAAGTACCACAGGCTGGATGACTGGAACAACAGAAGTGTATCTTCTCACACTTCTGGAGGCCAGAAGTCAGAGATAAGGTCGGCGGGGTTGGTTTCTTCTGACACCTGTCTCTTGGTCTTCCCTGTGTGTGTCTCTGTCCTAATGTCCTCTTTTGATAAGGACACCAGTCATGCCGGATTAGGGCCCACCTGGATGACTTCCTTTTACCTTAGTTACCTTTTTAAAGGCCCTGTCTCCAAATACAGTCAGATTCTGAGGTCCTAGGGGTTAAGACTTAAACATATAAACTTCGGGCAGAGGGGACGCACAATTTAGCCCATAACAGGGCACAGCACTCAAAAAACGTCAAGTGGCACGTTTAAAAAAAAAAAAAGATAGGAACCTAAGTTTTACCCATGTTAAGTCATTAGAAATATAAAAAATACTCCAGTAACTATGGCGCTTTAGAGAAAGACTTGAAGTTTGCTTGTGGGAGTGGCCGTGGAAAGGATTGTAGTTTGTGAGTTATTTTATGGGCTGGAAAGCCATAACTCCAGACATGGACCACTGCAGCTCATAACTCCTGTGGTGAACCAAAGTAGCCGGTAGATTTTTGAAGGTATGTGTGTGTTTCATATTCATTCCTACCAGTTTGGTTCAGCCGGGTGCAGTTTTCTGCATTTACGTCCTGTTTCTTGTAGATAAAGATGCTCATAAGCAAACTCAAAAATTCTCATTATGTTCTAATTGTTCCCTAATATAGCAATCATATTTGAACACCAGATTTTGCATTTTCAAGAAAGTATTACAGCAAAACTCACAGTGGCTCACTGGGATATGGTATTTATTTTTTTTACTTAAAGGTAGGTTGAAATTACTCTAGCCTCTGGTTATCCTGAAGGCACGGGACATGTAGTTTTATTTGTTCCTGCCTATTAAAATTGTCTTTTTGTATTTTGGAGGATTGTTGGGAGATTTGGCAATACACGGCTGCCCTCATTGGTGCTGCTCAGGTCCTTCCATGCAGAATTCCTCTTCTTAAAATACTTTAATCACAATAAGTCAATTAATGTACTTTATAGTGAAATTTTTTTGTTTGTTTGTTTCTTTTTTTTAGTATTTCCCCTTCTTTTTCTCTCTCTTGTTTCCGTATGCCTTCTCTGACCTGTTTGGTCAGAGCTTAAGGTTCTTTTTACTTTTCCCTAAGTTTCATTGTTTCAATCACATCTTTAAATCTTTAGCCTCATTGGCCTGAGGAATTGTTCAGCAGGGATTGGAATGAAATTAGGCAGTCTTCACTCTGCATGATTCTGCTGTGCGCATACGTAAGTTATCATGGTTCACAGGTCAGCCACCCCAGTCCATCGACTGAGCCCGCATACAGTACAGACATTGCTCAGTCCACAGATCGTGGCATAAATAACCGATGTGCACCATGATCAGTGACAAAGCACAGTGCCTTTTTCAACCCTCAGCGGGCGAGTCGCTGTGTGTCTGTTATTCTGTTTACAGACAGCAAAGTGTGTAGCCATATTGCCTCTTTGTCTCTCAGTGATAAACCCACACAGCATTGTACAAGGATGAATAATTGAAAAGGGGACCTGGCCAACAAAAATGAAAGTGCAGCAAAGAAATGAAAAGTGATAATGTTAGAAGTGAACTTGGAAGTATCCGAAGATCTGAAAACATTGACAGCAGAGCCAAGATGGGTTGAGATTGAGGCTTGTGTGAAGCTATGGGAAAAAGTGATGAAAAAGTCCTGTGAATATGAAAATCAGGCACAGTCACTTCAGCATCTTTTAGTTTAAACTGTACTGGGAACAGAAAATGGCTTATAGTTAAAATGGAATGTTGACTTCTCTTTTGGTTTGATGACTGTCATTAAAAAAAATCCCAGTCAGTTTACCTCTCACTCAGGCTTAATCAGTTCAACTTCTCATCTAAGTTAGTTGCCACGTTGAAAGAAAAAATAGTAATTACCTGGATATTAAAGAGGAAAGACTGGCTTCATCATTCAGAAGTCACCGTGGGTTGATTAATGTTAAACCATCAGGTGAAGCTGTAGCGTTGGTCGGGATGCTGCTGAGAGATTTGCATCCACATTCCAAGGATTAGGTAAAGCGGCTGAAGATCCTCATTATCAACCATTTAGTGTCGATGAGACACTGAGACACGTTGGAAGGCAACCCCATCAGGAACTTGGGCCACAGAAGATGTAAGATCTTGAAGTGGCTATGAAGGAGTTCGACTCAGAGTAACTTTTCTTTTAGGAGGCAGCACAAAGGGTGACTTTAAATGAACACCTGTGTTTATCTATCAGTCTGAGAATCCCAGAGCATTAAAAAATCACAAAAAAGCATCTTTTTTTTTTTTAAGATTGTATTTATTTGCGAGAGAGAGAATGAGAGACAGAGAGCATGAGAAGGAGGAGGGTCAGAGGGAGAAGCAGACTCCCTGCCGAGCAGGGAGCCCGACGCGGGACTCGATCCCGGGACTCCAGGATCATGACCTGAGCCAAAGGCAGTCGCTTAACCAACTGAGCCACCCAGGCGCCCACAAAAAAGCATCTTGAGCAGTCCCTTGGCACACAAAATAAAAGATCAGGGGTTACGGTATCATTGTCTCAAAACTTGTTTCAACTGTGTTTTTGTCCAGAGGTAGGCAGAATAATTTTAATTTTTAAAGCACAGTTGCTACTGTTAGATAATGCTCCAGGTCACCCTGATTCTCTTGGGGACTTGAGTGAATGGGAAAACTTGGCTTTTACTAGCTAACACAGCTTCATTAT